GGCGATGAGCATGTTTTGTCATTTAAATTCAATTTTAAAACAAAAAAAGTTATTAAATTAAGATTTATTTAATAAATAAAATTAATCTAAAATTAATATTAAAGAAAAAAAGATTAAATTAATATAATAAATAAAGATTATCCGATACACCATTTGTACCATCAATAAAACGAACTTAAACAACTCCTATTCTCCGATTCGAGCCAACACAGTTTAGCACATGAGTCAGTAGTTTTTGCCTCTGACTCATTCAAGTCATTTGGTGGAAATTGAAGTGCATGCGCTTTCAGTATGAATTTTTGATTTGACCCGTATTTCTTATGATGGTTTTCGTTATCTTCCTTACGGTTTTCTCTCCAGTTTCGATTAGATCTCATAGTTTACTTGGCCAGGTACGTGCACGAATTAGTTTTTATCATAAATTATTTATTAATTTTGAGAAATATTTGATTTTCTGTTATGCTTTGTATTTTGCTGCCACCAACAATGTCGGTTAACAAAAAGAAGTGTCATCAATACAGTGCCACGTTCTTGAAGTTGGGATTTGTTCAATCATTCTTGAACTCTCAACTATCCATGTGTTTACTTTGTACCCATATGTTTACTTTGTGTTAAGTTTTATCTAATGAGGTAATGAAATCTTACCGTTAGCAGGAGCATTTGAAAACAAAACGCATCCTGAAAAACAAAATAAAGATTTTTCATTTTTCATGAATATCTTTTTCCATGTTTCTGAAGGCATCTTCGGTCTCAGGGTTATTAGTAACCTCATTACAAAAATGCGACGATAGTTTGATAGCTTCTTATAATATATCAAAACTCATTGCTAAACTTGGGAAAGCTCATACCATCGGAGCAGAGTTGATACTGCCGGTTTAGAAATAGTTTTACACCATCCAGCTGCATCCAATGTGATAAAAAAATATCCCATAAGCAACGATACAGTGCAGCGACGAAATGTTGAGATGGCTGAGGACGTTGAAATTTCTTTATGCAAACTTTTGATATCCAACGAATTTTCCCTTCAAGTTGATGAATCAACCTTGCCAGGTAATGTAGGCTCTGCTGTAGGCATAGGTCCGGTTTGTAAGGGTAGGAAAAATTATTCAAGATATGCTTTTTGCAAGAAGCTTGATTGTAGATATCAAAGGTAAATCTATTTTTAATACTGTCAAAGACCATTTTAAAGAGAAAAACATTCCTCTTGCGAATATTGTGTCTATTGCCACTGATAGGCTCCTGCAATGGGGGCCGACATCTCCCTTTTGGAAAGATAGGTGCCAGATATTTTTAGCTTTTCACTGCGTGATTCACAGATAGCATTTAGTAGGAAAAAATCTCAGCGACCGTTCGCATAAATCATTGCAATATGCCATGTCTGTTGTGAAAAAAATTCACAGTAATGCTCTCTACGATTGATTATTCAGACAGCTGTGTAAGAAGAACAATGAAGAATTCAATCGCTTGCTATTATACGGCGAGATTCGCTGGTTTTCCAAAAGCTTCTGTCTCAATAGGCATTGGAATCTTTTCGACTCTTCGGAAACAGAGATGTATCTCTGAGAGACAGATTGCTGGAATTTAAGAAAGTCTTAGACAGATTTATCTGTAAAATTTAAGGGTAATAACTTACATCTTCAAGACAACGAGCTCAATTTGATCCCTACAAAATCAGTTATTTCTGCCTTTTTAAAAAAGCTCATTTTGTGTTAGCAGAATTTTGGTTGGAATGAATTCAGCCAAGCAGGAGAAATTCGCTCTGATGATGCACAAGAATATTCTCAACACCTTGACTCTTTGCACATGGACTTTTCTGACCGTTTTAAAGATGTTTTGTTTCCTAGAAGTGCCTCAATGGGCTTATGGGTTCTGAACACTTTTGTGAATATTGAAACAGCAGAGGTTCAGATTTGGTCGAAGTTTTAACTAATGAAACTTTGAAATGGTGATCGTCTCACAGAATTTTTGCTTAAAGGTAACGTCAATCGTCTCTATCCTGGACTGTAGACTACCTTTAAATTTTTTTTAATTGCCATTCCTTCCTCCTAACTTGTGGAACGTGGATTCAGTGCTGTTACAGATCCTGTCACGAAAAGAAGAAATCGACTTGAAATTGTGCAGCTAGTGTATTTGCGTCTTCATCTAAAAGTATTGAACCGACTGTTAAGAAATTGGTTCTGAACCATTAAGTACAATCATCCCACCAACATAGTTACTTGAATGTTTAGTTGATACTTCTTTTTACTGTTAAAAATATTTTGGGTGTTTTTTTATTTATCTAATTAAGAATAAATCATTTTTTAAGCATAGGTTTCTTGGTTGTATTTTTTTTCCTTAAACGTATTTATTTTGATCATAACAAACGGACTGCGTTTACCTGCCATGAGAAAATTATCGAGTTAATCTGCACATTTTTTTAAAAAAAAAAAAAACAAATTTAAAGCGTAAAAAATTTACTTAAAGATGTTGCTTCTTATAATTCAGCACACCTTCGTCCGTCCCCATGCTCTAAATAACTAGATTTTCACGAGGGGGGGGGGCGTTGAAATGCTTTTTGTTCCTTAAGGGGGCGGCAACGTTAAAAAGGTTGAGAATCTAAGTTTTAGCATTTGTCAAGTTATGTACAACTTAAGTTAAAGCAGTCTTTTTTTGACAAATTTTTTGTTTGAGTACTTTTAAAATTTTATATGCTTTTTAGGTAGATTGTGTTATTTTGAAACTGTATTTCTGACCTGCGATAATCTATTTACATGTTATGCTTCTTGTATATTCTATTTACTTATTTGTAAAAATAAGTTTTAAGATGTATATAATTATTTGCTTTCAAATTACTGCTTCTGCTAAATCTTATATTCTTTAGATATGTTATTTATGTATGCCATTTAATTTCTTTGAAGTTATTATGAAAACAATTATTATAAGAAAAATTACTTAGATTTAAAAAATATTTATTGTTGGAAACTAATTATGGAAACACTGCTATATAATTCTATATACTATTTTTCTTGCTCTAGTAAATGGAATCTATATTTTAAAGATGCCCATAACTTATTTATAGAAACCAAAATCTGCGAAATAAAGATAATGTTTATCTTTATTTTTCTTAAAGAGAGTAATTTAGAAACATTTGTAAAGTAAAGTTTCTTTTAAAGAATAGATCACCCAGCCTGTATACCATATTAAGAAGTACATTTCTGTAGAGTTTCTTAAATCTTTCACTCACGTATCGTATCTGTTTCTCTTTACTTTTTTTTCTTCATTTATTGAATTCTAAACATAAATTAAGAGCTAGAGTTAGAATGTTGACTTTTTATAGTGCTAACGATTCAAGTCAAGTTAAATTATTTATAGGCCATTCAGGTCCAACACCTTTCGCCATCTTTCTGGTACTAGCATGATTCCACGCTCATAAAATATTTGGTCTTTGCTGCAAAAAACTGATCCGGGTGATTTTTGAACTCTTCATTTGAAGTAAAGGTTTTACAGTCCAAAATTTTTTGTAGTGACCGGAACAAATAGTAATCCAAAGGCGCCAGATCGGGAAAATATGGTGGGTGTGGCAGTGTATCCCATTCAAGCTGTAAAAGCTTTTGGCGAGTGGCCAAACTTTTATGAGGTCTCGCATTATCTTGGTGGAACACTATACCTTTTCTGTTGATTAATTCTGGCCTTTTCTGTTGAAGAGCATCATTCAGTTTGTCCAGCTGACGACAGCAGACTTCCTAATTAAGTGTTGTGTTACCCGGTAAAATATAATAAAAAAAACTATTCCTTTAAAATCCCACCAGACAGCATTACCTTTTTTTGATGGATATTGGCTTTCGAAATGCTTTGAGCTGGTGCATCTTTTTCGCTCCATGATCTCCTGCATTTGACATTGTTATAGACAACCCATTTCTTGTCCCCAGTAATGATGCGCCTCAAAAATGGATAATTTCCATGACGTTTGAGAAGCGAATCACAGACGTCAACGCGACGACACAAATTTCTCTCAGTGAGAACATGGGGAACCCATATATCGAGCTTCAAGGTTAAACCCAGGCCTTTCAAGTGGTCATAAACGGTTGAATTCGATAAATTTAACCTCTCACAGATCTCACATTTTGTTATTCGCCGATTTGTATCAACTAATGAATTTATCGTGTCTTTATCAGCTTCAGCGGGCCTTCCAGAGCTTGGTGCATCTTTGACTTCAAAATTGGTGGATCGAAATCTTGCAAACAAATTCTGGCACTAGCGTACTGTCAACACATCTTATTCATACACATTGGAAAATTTCTTTCTGGCATGAACAGCATTTTTACCTTTTCTATAGTAAAAATGATGAAAATGCTGTTTATTGCTCTCCATATTTAAAAGGGCACCAACCAAAAACTACTGCTTAGAATTAATTGAACGTTTTCACACACAAGCCTTGCTATATCAGCTCTCAAAACATATAATGATAGTGCGGCTTAAGTGTGAAGTTGGGTTCGAAAAAATATAATTAAATCCATGTCGGAAAAACGAAATTACTTTCCGAACAACCCGATAACTGCAATTTTGTCTTAAAAATAATTTAAATTCAAAATATTTTTTTAACACAATCATTAATATATTCTTGATGATGCAATTTTTTTAAGTCTGATTTCATTGATAATGAAGGTTTTCTATAAATAAGTAAGTAAAAAAAAAATGTGGAAGTAAGCAGATTAATTTGCTGGTAATAAGTAAATTTCAATCGTTATCATTTAGCTTTGTGCTAGCACATGTTCAATCCAGAGATACTGAAAATAATTTTTTCAAGCTATTTTTTTTCTTCTTTCCTGTTTGGATTTCATTAGATTTGCTTTCTTGTTAATTATAATTTGTTAAAATGTTGAACTTGAACAAAGAGAAATTAAATTTATTCATTTAGTGATTGGTTTGTAATAACTAAATCATTTTCACTATTTTAGTTAGAAATATTCCATTAAATTATTTTTAAATAATATTAAATACTATTTATACATTTTACTTAATGCTTTGCTTTAATTAGTAAGTGTCAAAAAGCCCTATAAAAAAATTACTGGAAAGTTCGCACTATGACTTTTTGAATATTTTGACAATTACCTTGCTGCTGGATAGTAAAAAGAATACAATCCTATAAGTCAATATCCCAACAGCTAAATGGGATTAAAATAGTCTTTGTTAGCCTGGTAACAGCATTAGTGTAGGCCAAGATCCTTGCATGTTAAATCATGAGCATCTTTTTATATCAGCCGCTAAAATTAGATTTATGAACGAGAAATGAAAGCCCCTATATCAACATGGCAATGTATGCATGAAATGCATAATTCGTGATACATCCCCTAGTCCTAATCATGACAATTAAGATTGTATTATTATTTAGTGCAAAAAGTTATTAAAAAGATGGAAACACATTAAAATTGAACAGCTTAGGCAATTGTTTTATATACAGATTCATAATATAGTGTTTTCCTGGTGAAAAACATACACTTTTCAGGATTTTGGCTTTGATATCATCGTTCTGAAAAACAAATTTAGTTTAATTAGTATGTGGAATTATACAAATATAGTCTGTATATTCTTACTAGTTAGGTTCAACATTTGCATATAGAAATTATTTCTATATAGGACCAAAGGACTAAAAGATCAGGGTTGTAAAAAATATAGATTTTCCGGAAGAAATTCATGAAAGTTATAAAAATACTTGCTTGCTTCTTCACACAATTTTAAGTTATTATAATAGCCACAACCAAAAATTGGTTATAAATATTGTCTGTGGCTATCATAATCAAAATAAAGATCAAAATAAACTTTTGATAAGATCAAAATAAACTGTAGTATAAATGCTTCATGGAAAATTCATAATAATTAGGATCATTTATTAAAAAAAAAAAAAAAAAAATTCATTTAGATCCTGTTTTGCACCTAATATTACTAATGAGATTAATTTATTTTAGTGGTTCTCAAACACTATCTCAACAGCATTCAAGTATACATTGTGTTGAGCATATGGCCGAGAAAAGATTTGGCATTTCAAGTGACAGGCACTTAGAACAAATGTGTACAATCATTTCTATGCTTTGCCTCTCTTTTCCATTAAGTAGCAATAATAATAAATTGTTTCTTACACGAGAAAGAAATCAGGTTTTCATAGTTAACTCAAGCAGAATCACTAAATTATACATTAACTGTTTAAATTAATTACACAGTTTCAGACTTTATAGCATTTTTAAATAATTCGTAGCTTTAAATTAAAAATTGAATGTCGAGATATTTCACCACAAAGTTGTGTTTAAAAAAAAGAAGTGCCTGCATTATTAAAACAGTAAACAACTTGTGAAAATAAAAGATTTTCACACAATCCATAATTTGAAGATTAGAAGTTAATAAGGAACAAACGACATAAAAAGGATAAAGAATGGGACAAAATAAAATTAGTTATGCACATTATCCTAAAGTATCTACTAACTTGTAAGGATACATGGTAACCAGATGATTTTATTACAAAATACATATTTTCATATTTTTCTAATGCTTCTAAATATTCTATTTATTTTCATTTAGCAATCAGTAAAAGAACTATTTTTTTCTCTTAAAAAATGTATCTCGGAAATATTTACTTCTATATTTTAATTTTGAAACATAAACCTGTATAGTTAATTTTTTTTAAATAAATTTTAAATTTATATCTCAAATGTATGCATGTGTGCACCTTTATTACTTAACTGTGGAATGACAAAATTTTATGTTCGTAACTTTCTATTTATGTTTTAAAACATCTGAACATTTTTTATTTATTTATTTAAGTCTTAATACTAAGTAATGACGAAATAGCTTGCAATAAAAATTTAGAAATATCTAATTAAAAATCGAGTACCATTATTTGTATTCTTGTAGAATATTTATTAAATAGAATTTATTAAATTTTATGGATATTAAAAATAAATTTTAAAATAATATAAGAGGCCCAGATTCATATATTCTGTCATATTTGCATGAGTTATAACAGTGATTCCTAAAGTGGTCTATATCGACCCCCAGGGATCGACGACAACCTGCAAGGGGTCCATGTCAAGCAACAACAAAAATTGGGGCCCATGAAATGAAAATGGGGGTCGACGATAGTAGATCTCATATAAACAGGTGATGACATTAATTTTGGCATTTCATTAATGGAATAATCAACATACATTGACAGTACCTATTTACTTAAATTATACTACCTTATAATATACAGATACATATCTATCTCCACATTTTTCATAATTTATAAAAGAAGCCACAAAGAGAAAATNAAAAAATTGGGGCCCATGAAATGAAAATGGGGGTCGACGATAGTAGATCTCATATAAACAGGTGGTGACATTAATTTTGGCATTTCATTAATGGAATAATCAACATACATTGACAGTACCTATTTAATTAAATTATACTACCTTATAATATACAGATACATATCCATCTCCACATTTTTCATAATTTATAAAAGAAGCTATGAAGAGAAAATTTTATCAAAATTTAAGTTATTAGGATTTCCTGATATATGAAACTGAGTTATTATAAACTAGCAGTTGCCTGCAATCCCGCCAGCGTACGTTTTTATTTTTTCTGAGTGTAAAATTTTATTTTGTAACAAAAAAATATTTTTCGCTATAAATTGTAGCCTAGCCTGTGTCAACTCTTTAGCTAGCTAGACTTCCAACTTTATCTACGCACATGATCATGGAGATTTGTAGCTTTTACGTGAAAACGTAATAAACAGGATGACGATACACTATTACGGTTTTGTGTACAAATTTATTTCAGTATACCGTAGTTATAATATTAGTAGGGGTTTGGGGTTTTATTCACTTATATATTAATTTAATTTAATTAATTTAATTAATAATTCTATAATTAAATTAATTTAATTATAACAATTTAATTAAATTATTTATAATTAATTTAATTAAATTAATTTAATTATAATAATTTAATTAAATTAATTTAATTATAATAATTTAATTAAATTATCTATAATTAATTTAATTAAATTTACGTTTCATAAAATTGAACTTGTAAAAATTATCATGTATGCTCATAACGATATATCAGTATCATCATGTTACATGCATACATGCAGTAAAATATTTTGTCACAGAGCTTTGAGAACTTGCACTTGTTCAATTCGTTAGTCTATAATTACGAATATGAGAGACAAATACGTTTGCTTACTAAGCCTTAAAAAGGAAAGCGTTAAGAAAATATTTTTAAAATTTTTTAATCACATAAAATTATAGTGATTCAGTGTCATTTTGTTTGACAGTGCCGGAGAAAAGTAAGTACCTACATTATTTTTTTATAAAATTTTAATTTTTAACTCGTACAGTTAGCAAAGAAAGATTTGCATCTTCATACATAGTGGAAAGGGGTTTCAGCGCTATTGCCAATCTCCTGACCAAAAAAAAAAATTAAAAAAAAAAAAAGGAGCAGACTGGACATTATTAAACTGAGGAGTTTTGAGATTAAACCTAAATAAATTGATGGCAAATGTTGATAATTTATTATTGAAACATCATGTTCATCCTCCCACTGAAAGCATTTATTTATTATTTAGTTATTTTATATAACAGATACTAAATTTTAATTTGGTTCATTTTAATTTGAATTTAATAAACAAAAAAATGACCTCCAAATAATTATGATGAAATAATATGCATAAAATTAGCATGTGTTTTTTAATTAAGTTTTTCGCACTGCACTTCACAACAGTTAGAAATTTAAATCTTTCACAGTAAGTAGCACTATACCAGCTGTCAAAACTACATTTGAAGTTTATGAAGTTACAAAATATCAATATCTAGTAAGCAGAGAATCTACCGAAGACCGAAAAACATGGCAAGTGGTTTAGGAGTAAAAAAAGTTTGGGAACCACAGAGTTAGAATCAATGAAAATGTATTATAACTACATATTTAAGTTTAATTTTATTAACAAATTATTAATTTTTTATTTCTCTTTATACCGCAATTGTTCCATATTATCTGGCTAGGTGGAACTGTATGCGTGAAAGTCTTTGGTTGCAACCAAGAATAAACTTTCTTAGTGATGTAAGTGGACCATGCATAAAGGTATAGTATTTTTTTAATAAAGTTAATTAATTTAAGAGTAATTAAGAATCTTCCAAAATCTTCGTTTTAAAAAAAGTAACACTTACATTATTAAAAAGAATACAGCATTTTGTTAGTTTATTAATTCTAGCATATTTCTAATATAACACACATACTTTTCATAATAATATTAAATTGAATTAGAAAATTCTTATCATACTTACTGGGTTAGTGTTTTGTGTCCACCACTGAGTACAATGTATGGAGATTGTGTTTCTTTTTGTTTCTGCTGGAGCAACTTTACAGTGTTTAAGGGAGTATCTGTTGAACTCATTTGTTTTAATCTCTGAAACAAAATATAAAACCTTAGTTATTAAATTTTAACATCCAAAATTATGTATGCTCTTTTCATCACATAGCAATTGAATTATTTTTGAGAAAAATACATTCTCTGTGATTGTAAATTTCATGAAAAGTCTGAAAATACGAATAAATGGTTCAATTGCAACAAAAGTAGCTTGCAAGACTATGAAGTGAGCAGGTCTTTTATTTTAAATTATTCACTATAAAATAATTTATTAATAGTAAAATTCAAAGGAATAGCTTATGAATAGAAAGAAATACAGAAATTCAAGGAAATAAAAACTGTTTCGCTATTAAATAAAATTAAAGTGCAAAACAAAAAACATTTTTTTTGAATTTTTGAAAAAAATTCAATTAAGAATCACTCTGAATAGAAATTTATAAGAAAAGATTAATTCTGTTGCAGTTAAGACTGTGAACCTAATTTACTTTCTGAATGCAAAATTAAAATTTTGTGTGTGAAAATACATATATTACAAGAGAAAGAGAAAGAAGTCTAATTTCAGCAAACAAAACTTACCCTGCAAGATAATAAAAATGAGGCAAAGTTAATCCTAACATTTGATATTTAATTGACGTTTCTTTAAAAAATAAGTTTCTGCAAGTAAATAAATTTTGCACCTTTTTGATACTTTGTTTTCTTGTTTTTCTTTTTGAGCAAATTTTGATGCTTATTAAGTAACGCAAAATTGATTATAATTCAACTTTTTGGGGATACATTTCAGTCTAAAAAAGTTGGACGGTAAAATTATTTTAATTAAAAAAAATAATAAATTTAAATTAGCAAAATTTTTAAAAAAATTGAACAAAAAATTTCTAGCTTTTCTTTAAAATTCCCTGATTTTTCCAGTTTTTATATAAATTTCCCTGATTTTGTGGTATTTTTTATTGTAATATAAAAAAACACAACTTATTTAATTTTTTAAAAAAAAAGAATGCTTGTACATAACTTAAGTTATGTATATCTTTCAGCAGATTTAAAAAATATCAAAAAGGCCTACTTTTGTTATAATTATTTTCTAATTAGGTAATGGAATTTTTCTTACATTGTCTTGATCCAACTTTTTCATTCTTTTATCCACTTTGTTCTTGCCAGGTCCTTTCCCATGGAATTTATGAGAAAGATAACGAAATGCTTCTTTTGCAGTTAGCAAACATCCACTGTCATCAATATATTCTAATTTCACATCTAACTTATAATTAGTTTTTTCTTTAAAATCTTGAATAGGACCTGTATATCTGTCACGTTTCCCAAGCTTGTCATCCTCACTATTAAAAACAAAAATAAAATTATATAATATTCTTAAAAAAGTTTATTAATGATTTAACGAATTAGCAAGATTTAGCATAAAATAAAGCTTTGAAAATGAAATAAGAGTATACTTACTAAAATTTTTCTTCTACGGTATATGCTTGTGCTTGAAGCTGACTAGATCGAGGAACACTAGAATGCTTTTTATCTTCTTTATCCAAGTACCCTATTAAAAATATAGTATAAAATTAGTTACAAGATATATTAACCTTTTGAACGTAGTTCTTAGTAGCTTCAAATTAAATAAAAATAATTTAATGTTTGTAATTTGTGCGTAATTTTTGGTATTTTAAAATAACTTTTTAATTAGATTAAAAAATATGAAGCATTTAAATTTTTTTTACATAAAACACTTTTTTTTAAACCTGTAGAGCAACTAGAAAAATGACTGTTTTTATCAGAGCTATGCATTGATTTTAACAACTGCTTCATTCTTGAATGATTCCAAGCAATCCTAAAATATTAATCGCAATAACTCTTCTCTCATTTTAAGCTAAAATATTTCTCCCATAGCCCTCATGACTGTCAAAATTGCTTCCAACATTACACTGATGTGTGCAATTGACACAAGTTTCTGACAAATGCTTATCTGCAGTAATTTTAAAATGAGCCAAATATTCTTACAAAGATTAATAACCTAAGTTTATCAAATGTTTTCTTTGAATTCAATTGCTGGATAAATTTGTATGCTAATAATAAAGATGCTCGCAAACTACAAAGAAGGTATTAAAAATAGTTAAGAAAAATTAAATCTGAGACTGTAAGTACTCAAAAATAAGTGGAATTTAAAAATATAGAGACTTTAAATTTGTTTAAATCATAAAAACTTAGTATGGTTAATTTCCATGACTGCATATTAATTAAAAATTAGGGTAAGATTATCACAGTTTCAGGAGTGAGAAAACACCAAAATTGGATAGCTTAAATTCATCCCAAGCAGAATTGAAAAAAATAAATTAATTAATTAAAAATTCAGGTTCATATACTAAAAAATTGTGAGCATAAAATTTACGTAAAATTTAAAAATTGATAATCCTAAGTTGAAAATGAAAGTAAAAACTAAATGACTAAATACGTAAGTCATTAAATGAAGTTAACTTGGTAAACATTATAAATAACAATCAGCATAAAATACCCTTTTTCATAGCAAGATTCAATGCTCCAGCTACTCCTAAACTTATATCAGGTTCTTCTTCTAAAATAGGCTCATTTTCTCTAATCTATAAATCAATAAACAAGTATTAGAAAAATATGAAGTATTGTAAATAATAACAACAACAAAAAACTTCTAGGCAGACATTTTAAAAGAGTATTTATAAATTAATTTATAAGTTTGAGGGTCTTCAAATTATTGTCTAAGTTTCCATAGCTCATAGTTCTGAATGAAAGAAAACAGCAAAAATTATGTTACAAATTCATAAATTTGCTGGTGGATTTTTGCTGTAAGACTAAGATACCAATTCTTGATATTAATATTTTAACATCATTATTTAACATCATCATTAAAAATTTCTTTATAACACATTTTAAAAACGTTGTTTTAACCGAAAGTTATGAGAAAAGGATGGATTGAAAGATTGATGTAATTATTTAGAAAGATCGTATATTAGACAAAGAGCAAGAAGCTATTTCTATTTGTTTACTTTTATTTTTGGATGGTCTACATTTATCCCATCATACATAAACACATCTACTGTACTTCTAAATTTTTATATCTTTTCTCCCATTTATAATCAAATTCAAATTTCAAATACGTAAGGGGATGTGAAAAACACACATTACAAGTAATTAAACCAAATTACATAAATATATAAAGTTTTATTTTCTTATCAAACAAGAAACCATAATTTACTATATTAATCAAAGTTATGTTTCATACACAAATACCAAATAATTTTTTTCTTCTCAAAATTAAATACCACAGCTATCAATACTTTCTAAAAAATTAACTAACTATATGTGGAATAAAAGTTAAGACAAGAAATTAATTGCAAAAGAGTTGGGTATCAATTATTTATTTAAAGGTAACTCTAAAGATAATTTATAAGCCTGATGCAAAAACAAAGGAAAACAAAATTAGGATTAAAGAAAGGATTAATTTAACAAAAATAGGTCAATAGATTATTTTAAAATCAAGGAAAAATATTCATCCAAAGATAACTGTCCCCATGAGGGCATCAAATCAAAAAAATATTTTCAAAATTTCTTTTTAAAAAAAATTTTTTTGTCACGTTAAACTAAAATTTCTCTTGTTACTTGTTAATTCTACAGAAGGTGCTCATTCATTTAATTCAACACAAGGTTAGGCATAAAATTGAATAAGTTACACCTTGATATTTATAACAATACATAAAAAAAACTTCTCAACTATGTAAGCAAGAAAATGTTCAAAAAAATTTTCATCTACTAATTTTAATATAGCGAAATGATAATTATTCATTAAATGAATATTTTCATTGTGCTTTGTGATGCCCTCTGATAGTTTCAAATTTTTTAATGCAGTTCATAAAAATTTTGGTTGCAATAGCATTTTTCTTCTTTAAGACAAACAAGAAACAAGTTATGAAAATTATAGAGGTACATAATTTTTTGTTATTAAAAATGAAAACTAAACTAGTTAATATTTCTCACCAAAATTTCAGCTGGTTTTTTATCCACATCAACTTCACTCCAAGCTCCCTGATTTTGGAGATCAAATTCGTTTGAACACTCCTCTAAAATTTCTTGCTCTAGATCCTTTTAAAATAAAAAATTATAATAAAACTATATCACAAATATTATTTTGAGTTGAAGAAACTTTACAAAATCAATTTTGAGCAGAAAAATACTTTGAATTCATCAAATGTAAAAACTATTGTATATTATGCGCAATAGTTCACTAAAATAATCTTTCAATTAAAAGCATAAAGAAATATTTATTTTAATTTAAATAAAATATTAGGGAACATATATTAAAAAAAGTAATTGAAAGTAAAATTTTTACCAAAAGAAAAATTAAAAGATATCGAAAAAATATGTATTAAATGTTATATTTTAGGTTTTTGTAGTTTTAATTTAAAATTCAATTTTAACTAACAAATATTGTATTTTTGAATATTTTGTCATTAGTATTAGCATTAATCTCGCGTTTGGCTGACCACCTGACCGGAACATCTGCTCCTGCACCCCAGAGCCCAAGGTCAAGAAAACTGAGATGGGCACAGTAGGCCTTGGCCCTCTATGGGCTGTCGCACCACTGAGTTTAGTTTTAGTTTAGTTACTAGCATTAATCATTCAATAAAAATAATGATGTATAATTTAATTAGACCGTATAGTAATCTGAACAACAAATTGCTAAAAGTAAAAATTGTGTTGTGCATAAATTAAACAAATTCATGAAAATAACTTGAATGTTTGTGTATATTTTGTTGATTTAACTTTAGAAAATAATTGTTTAGTTCATTATGTTTAATATAAATTTTCAATCTCTAATGCACTCATACAGACCAACCATGTGCCCCAAGATCAAAACCAAATTACTATTAGTTTGTTTATGCTATAATTTGAACTAGGGTCTATTTTAATTTAAATCAATTTATGCAATCTAAGAAAGTACTTAATTATTTAAAGGGATTATACACAATCTTTGAGGTTTATGGTACCGGGCTGCACATGCACTATCGTTTATTCATAGCTAAATAATGACATAAAAACTAGTCAAATAAAGAACGACAAATTAGTATTTTGAACGATAATGTATTAATACCAAATGTTGACTGTAATTGAAATTATTTAGATAAAAACATTCTATGTAATTTAATAATAAAAATACATTATTAAAACATTTATTCGGTTAAGCACATACCACATAACTTACTTAAAAGAATTTTTAAACAAATTGACATGTTTTAAGGAAAACACTTAATGTTTTTCTCCATAAAAAGTTTAATATAAATTAGCAGTTGAAGTTTTTAAAGTGAAGAAAATCCTAGTAATGAAACTTTAAAAAATGCCTAATAAATGAGTTAGTAATAATTAGTTAATGAATATAATTTTAATTAAATATTAATCCACTATAATGTGTAAAACCGAGAAATGCGCACCACTAAGCGATAAGAAAATTATTAAAATTTAAAATGAAATGTAATAATAGGATTGATGGAACCCTCTGTTATTAAGGCCATCATGGCTCAGTTCCTTAAGCTGGAAAAAAAATTTACCGACTAACCACACACTCGGCATTGAAATTTGAAAACTGAGGGAAAACAGCGCCATCTGGCATGGATAGGCTCTCGTTTCGTGACGTCACTCATCCATAGTCATTTAACGCTTATTAGGGACTTATTACGTTCACTTGAAGGGATTGTTAGATCTAAAAAGAGAAATTCGCTAGCACGCAACTCAGCCAATATTATTTAACATATTAAAAATCTTAAAATAGATTAAAATACCTATTTAGAATTCAAATATTGGTCTGTGATTTCTTGATTTTTTTATTATATTTAATTGGACCAAAATTAATATATAGCATAAAAAAACTTGTTCATATAAAATTTTAAATATAACTAAATATTACAATTTTGTTTTTCAAAATATCAAAAAATGTTGTCAAATCTTAAGTTTCGCAACAAACTGTAACATTTAATTTCAAAACTTTAATTCAATTACCAAAATCAATCCTACAACAATGTTACAATTCAGATGGGGAAAAAAGCAAAATTAAGCAATAAAAATAACATTAGTTTACAAAACAATTCATTACAAAACAAATATAGGTGAGTTCATATTAAATAAGTTCATATCTAAAGCAATAAATAAATTTGAAAAAGTTTTACTTTCTCTGATTGCACTTATAATCTATCAATTAAATGCTTTTAAAAAAAATAATATCCATTAAAATTGTATAAAAATATATAACTACCATTAAATCTTCAGCTTCTTGATCCCGATTGCCACTTAAACCATACGTAGGAATCTCTCCAAGAGTACGGCAAAATTCAGCAACAGAATTCATTTCAATATCTCCAACTTTATCTTTTTCGAAAAGTTTCCCAGATCCATCGACACTACTTAGTATTTCAATGACCTATAAAATTTAAACATAGTAGACTATATAAACAAATTACTGGATAATAAAGTACAGAGTAGTTTAGTTAGATTTTTTTTTTATCATAGCAAGCTATTTATTTAATAAAAATGTTAAGAAACTAATTACGTAAAATATATCAGTTATTTAAAATTAAATTTCAAATAGCAGAAAGTGATTTTTTTCAGAAGGTGAAAAGCATGCAAAAAATTTATATCAGAGAACCTTTTATTGAAAAGGCAATTTACAACATAAACAAAACTTCAAATACAATGGACGAGTAAAAAAAAAATATAGAAAAAGTTAGTGTACCGTCTTTACGTATGGGCACAACCGGGCAGTGTCCAGGGGCCCTTGAGAATCATATTCTTCATAGATTATATTTAAAAAAAAACTCATGATCAATAAACTTAAAGCTTATATATATTTTTATGAAAGAATTCCTTCATTACACACTTTAAAGTGCATACTTTGCTTTTCTTTCTGCAAATAGTGATTGATTACAGTGAAAACACCATCAGTTGGAATAGCTTATAATCATGACAACTTAAAAAGACGCTTGAAGTTTAATGCTCTACATTTCAACGAAATTTTTAGGTAATCAACTTGCATTTCCTTTTCAGTTTGACCCTGTCCTTTAACACAATGTCCTCGCTCCTACAGGACCCTTTTGGCGAGTAATCGGAGGAACAATGTCATAAATTTTATTAGTCCAAGAAACTATTTATTTGATAACGCAACAAATTGAAAACAGCTTTGCTCTGCTAGCTTCCTGTCTCCAGACCATTGCTTTCTTGTAGAAGGATTCTTTCCCCAAAGGGAACGAATTTTGTAACTTCTTCCATTCTATACCCGTTTGCAAGTTAATATAAAAAAGAGTGATTATGAATCAAGAGCCAGAAATAGAACGCCAAATTATGATTTTGAATATTTAGCTTAAAGAGACATAACGCGAAGTATACGTTTCACAAAACAGGATGGTCCGGAAAAGGAAACCAAATTCAGTGGAAGTGATAAATTTAAAGTGGAGGCATTTTTACCCGCTTTAGACTCATTGATAACTGAAATAAGTAAGCATGGAGAAGTGTATGAAAATATAGGGAAAAATTTTCACTTTTTAAGTAATTTAATGGACATTGAATTCAAAGAACTCAGTGATAAATGCAAAAATCTAGTAAATATGTACAAGATTGATTTAGATTACCATGACATCCATTTTAAACATTTTTCATATTCACATTTTTTATATTGAACTTCATGCATTATATAAAACAATTGTTTCTGGGGAAATCGATATTTCCCAACATTGAAATCCCTCATTAAGAATTTTTTGAGCATGATGATCACAAATTGTACCGAAAAACGGCCATTTTCACAGCTAAAATTGATTTTAAAAAATAAATTATGCAGCACTATGGGACAGCAACGCTTGAACTGGCTATGTCTGATGTGCATTTAAAAGCGATGTGTTAATGACTATCAAATTTGACTAAATAATCAAAGAGTCTGCGAATAAAAAAGTTCATAAAATTGGTTAAAGATAATTATTTTAGGCTTTCATTTGGAAAGGGGTTTTATCTTTATTTTTGTTCATTTAGTTATTGCAATCACCTTTTGTCTGTTTGAAAATTATTTAGAATGTGAAGATTACAGCTGGTTACCATCTCAAATTTATTTAAATTATCAATATCTTAAAAATGCCTAATTTTATGTGTATTAAATTTTCAGAGAATTCAAAATGTGTTCAAATTTGTCAAAATTATTATTATATGTTTTTAAAATGTTTAATTTCATATTTAATGTTTGTGAAATTTTTATACCTCAATCTTTTTTAAGCAGTACAACATGTTAAAGGGGTCCAAACCATTTACGTACCCAGGAACCCTTCATGCTATTAAGACGCCCCTGGTTGGAAAGCCTATTTTCAACCATGCACACAATAATGGTTCATGCAATGCATCTGTTATTTAAAAAAAATTTCAGGATTCCTTTTTTGACCTTATTACACCATCTTAAAAGAATTATCAAAAAACTTGTATAACTTACAATTAGCCACTCTTAAATATTTATAAATTTAAAACTCAATTTCAACAATAAAAACATGTATAAAAATTTATAGTTGTCATGTTATAATTTATAGTTTAAAAAAAGATATTTATACTTTTTCAGGAGCCGTAGCCATTATTTTTCTTTTTTTCAATTTTTTAGCTTTAAGTAAAGCATTACTAAATTCTTTTTCAGCCAATTCTTCATCTAGAGAAAGAAAAAAATTATACATCATAACAAATATCTTGGAACAAATAACCATGCAGAAAAAGAGTAACGAGAGTCACTAAGTCTTTTCAATAATCAATATACATGGCACACATACGTTTTTACCCACCTTCTTAAATTTAGAGTGGCCAAACTTGTAGTTATAAAAGGGGCAGTAAACTCAAATGTATCATAAGACTACTTATTTTGCAATCTAGTTTGAGCATACAAATGTACATTTTAACTGTTATTTTTATAGCACTTGGGTTTACAAGGCGTCTATTTAAACTAATCAACATTTTAACTGTTATTTTCATAGCACTTGGGTTTCCAAGGTGTCTATTTATACTAATCAACATTTTAACTGTTATTTTCATAGCACTTGGGTTTACAAGGTGTCTATTTATACTAATCAATGATACTCAACAACTTATACCTTATAGCCACTGAGATGACAAATATGATTTTTAATTCATCTTTTGGAATTCAAATATTTGCACAAAAAGGGTCAATGCTGGCAAAAAAATCAGAAAATTTACTAACTAAATATAATTCTCAAGAGAAATTTAAACCAACAAAATTTATGCATATTAAGTTTATTAAGTTATTGTTAATTTTTTTCACTTTCTTTAATTAATTCTATATTGATCAATGATATTTTTAACATTATTAAGATGAGCTCATGAATTACACAGAAAAGACCTAGTATGCACAACTTTTGGTATGTATTATTTACCTCTTCCATAAAGTGAAAATATAATAATCCCAATAAATGTTTAAGTGTTCAGAGAATTAATGAAAATTCAAAAATAATAGATCTTAATGCAGTATATCCTTAAGTTAATAATAATAGCTGCAATATCTTATGTTTCTTCAAACGTTATCATTCTATTTCAATATGAATAAGTGACAAAGAAGGATTCATAACCTCATTTTTTTTTTACAATAAAAATAAGATAAAAGTTATAACTCTTGATATTAGATTGTATGAAACAATAAGAAGACCAAAGAAAATATTTTAATTTCATGAAATAACATTTAAACTTTATAAAAACCTTTTTCAATTAAAGGAATGCCAGTGCTATCGAACTGCTCAGATGGGATGGCATCAAAATCCTTTTCCCTTTGTCTTCGATTTCTCCTGCAAAATAAACAGCTTAATATATTAAAATCATAAGTTTTGAAATTATTTAAGCATTAAAAAAATATTAGATTTAGCAACAAATTGGTTACTATAAAATTTTGCTGATTTTCTTAAAGCAAATCTAAATTTTAAGCACTATTACAAGAATTTTTTTTACATATAGCAAAAAAACTATTTCCACTTTTAGAACTAATTATAATAAAAAAAAAGTGTTTGAAAATAGAGAAGAAATAAAATTTTATTTTAACTTAAGTATTCTCATTGTATCAAACATTCGCAAAGCAACATTAAATTTTCCTTAATTCATACATATTATTATCATGCATAAATTAAATGCTATTGGCCTGATAAAAAATAAATAAATTTTTTTACAAAATTTTTAGAGAGTAACTGTTTCTAGACAAATTAATAATAATAAAGAGGTTTTTATGGCACATTTCTAAGTACTTCATTGCAAGGTTCATATTATTAAAGGCTATAATTGAAAGTAATAAAATCACATTTAATTGAAATCTATTTATTTACTGAGTATTCGCTAAAATGTCAAATAATAAGGTATTGAGCAAATAGCAGGTAGCAAGTAAATTTTAATTCTATCAAATCAAACGAATTATAATAAAAATAACTGAATTACTTATCAAAAAACGGAAGTTAATATTAAAGGTAACAACTGTAGTTTAGTAATTGAAAATAAAATATATGCTTAGGCATAACAATTAGAACAAATTATCAAAACATGCAAACACAATTTGTGTAATTTTAGGAGAAACAAAACAATTTTCTGATTGTACAGTACAGAACCCGTTATCCGGAAATCAGAAAACCGGAACACGAAATTTGATACATTTTCTCGCTATTTTTTAATAAAAAAAAATTTTTCCTCATAAGATTTTTTTTTCTTTTTTGAAAGATGTTTACCCTAGCATCATCTTGGAAATAATCATTAGTTTATTACTTCGTTTTTTCAAGCTTATTTCCAAATATTTTTTTTTTTTTTGGTTTAACAATAAAAAAAACGCCTTTTTGTAGCGATTCAGAAAACCGGAAAAATCAGTTATCCGGAATAGTGATGGTCCCGATCGTTCCGGATAATTGGTTCCGTACTGTATATACATTTTACACTGGTAGTCTTATTTTTTGTGATTTCTATAANTTTTTTTTTTTTTTTTTTTTTTTTTTTTTTTTTTTTTTTTTTTTTTTTTTTTTTTTTTTTTTTTTTTGAAAGATGTTTACCCTAGCATCATTTTGGAAATAATCATTACTGTATTACTTCGTTTTTTCAAGCTTATTTCCAAATATTTTTTTTTAGTTTGGTTTAACAATAAAAAAAACGCCTTTTTGTAGCGATTCAGAAAACCGGAAAAATCAGTTATCCGGAATAGTGATGGTCCCGATCGTTCTGGATAATTGGTTCCCTACTGTACATTGAAATCTTCATCTTTATTGACTGGAAAAGCCTGTGTGGCCATGGTCTGCATTAGAATCTTTTTATATTATGCTAGAGGTTTTCAAAAATATATTTTTTGTTGTTAGTTTTAGTTGGACTTCTTTTTATTGGAAACTGAGAAAACAAACCTAATTGACCAGTTTTATAACCAGTTTTTTTTTTTTTCATTAAAAAGGCAAAAAAGAATTTTTTCATGCCTGGCATTAAGGACAGTGTCAAATAAGTATTTGCTTAAAACATAATGTTTACCAACATAAAACTGAGGCTCTAAGAATTATGCAAATATAGAGAAAATCACAAAATATACGCTTATCAGTATAGTTTCTGAATATCTACATAGTTTTAATTTTTTCAACAAAATATCTTCATTTAATAGATAAAATTTGTAGCTAAAGATTAGCTAGATAAAAGTTGAAGTCTTTTCCACATGGAACATCATCACCTTCTCCAATTTCAAGAAAGTTTATAAAACAAGGATTTTTTCTGCAACTTTGAAAAATTGCAGCACATTTGTTTCAGAATTTTTATAAAGATTTCTGCATAATTTATAAGATCATATACACAACTATACACCATTATTTAAATTCCTATTTCAAAGTTACAATTTAATTTACTTTAAGTTCCTGTTTGAAACTCTGAACCTCAGCTCAACAAGAAATCAAACATTTTCAAAACTGTGAATATTTACTTAACATAAAATTACTATTGGTAATGAACAAGAATTTGCCAAATAAATGTCTTGTTTAAGAAGTGATATGTCATAAACTACACAAAAAATAAATTATTATGACTATGAAACATTATATAATCTAATTATTCTCACCGATATCCAAAGTCTCTTTCAGCCTGCTCCATAGTATCTCCTAACAGATCGTCTGCCTTCAATATATTTCTGTGAATTTTTTTCTTCTTCTTTGGATTTCTGAACTGCACCTGAATGATCAGGAATCACCTGTTGTATCAACAAAGCAAACGGTAAAAGAAATCACAAAATAAGCACACGATCATGTGCTTTAAAACACTTAGCATTACTTTCTACTTAAAAATATAGTATTTAATTGACAATTATAGTAATTTATAACCTGACAGTTCAAACATTATAGGCTTAAATATGCACAATTGACAAAAGTATTTAGTTGTACAGTTGATAAGAGATGTAATGCCCAACTTAACAGGTTTAAAACTATTTTCTGAGAGCATTTACAGAACAGCATATTTATTTCAATACGCAAGTTGAAACTACCATTGAACCATGGACTTCATTGGAGCGAGAGATGGTGGCTATGTCGCCCTCTCAATAATTATAAATTTAAAAAAAATCCTCCCTTATATTTAATAAATTGCAATTTCTTGAATAAACTATGATTTAAATTTAGTTTTAAAAGCAAGCAAAAAAATTAATCTGCAGATAATGGCCAAAAGATTCATCAGAGTTTAATAGTATTCTTGTTAAGAGTGTAGCATGGTTAAATCATATATTTGTCTGGTGTATATCTTGCAATTCAGGAAGAGATCAAATGCAATACATTTAGTCCTAACACTTTTATTTTGGAACAAACATAAAAGAGTATTGAAATGAAAGGAAGAAACCTTACAAACAGCAGCTATGTATTAAATTTAAGTACTGCCTTTTAATGAAGAGGTAAAAAAGAAGAAAAAAAGCATATTGAATATAATAAGCAGTAGTGTCATTGATTTTCAAATAATGTCTATGGCTAAGTGAAATTGTAACATGTAAGAATCTTTAAGTGTACGGAAAAATTAAAATATCTTTGAAACCCTAAAATATTACTTTTAAAATTTAATAAAAATTCAAATCTAAGCAAAATCTTTAAATTATTGTAAAATAATTAATTTCATATTATTAAGCTTTACTTAAAAGATAAAACATTTTAACAATATTATAAATCAAATTATAGGAGCGGGCTTCTAAATTGCATTCAAGTATAAGGTTATATGACATTTCGGTGTGGTTATAAAAAGATCATACTTGTAATGTTACAACCATTACAGGAGGAATTAAAATGCACTTAGACCTTTAAGATAAAAGATACACTAAAGAAATTAACAAAAGATATAGTAGAAAGAATGGTTAAAAATTAGTGCTGCAATATCGTTGAAAGAAAAGAATACTTTACACAGATATCAACCTGAAACATAATTTTTTTTAAAAGCTATTTATTTTGTAATAACACAGAAATAATTTCCTTATCTTTAAGCTTTTCTTTAGCCTTATTCTTTAAGTAAATTAATTTGGGGGTCTAATTTGATAGACTTTGGTTAATCAGTAACTAAGTTATAAGGCTTCAAACAATCATGATTCAAAAATGTAAAGATGCATTTTTCTAAAAAAAAAAGGTATTTATCTAAAAAAAAGTTTTAGAATTTAAAATTTATTAAAAAATGAATTGATATACCCCCTGAAAAAAAAAAGAAACCTATTAAACCAGTAGAGAATAATCCTAACATAGTAAATATTTGTAATAGTAATCAGACTCAAACCCATATAAACACAGATAATTTTATCTGTGTGTAATTATTTAAACAGCGACTTATTTATTTTCTTAAAAATAGAATATGAGTAAAAAGATAATTATTTTAAGGGATGGTGGCTTATTTTAACAAAAATGGCAAAGAGAATGCCTTTAAGGGGATCAAAGGGCAAGTGTAGATAGAGCAAGCCCCCCTTCGAAATGCTTAGGGAGAACACCGTTATATCACCACTACAGGCAGAATAGCTGCATAGTTTGGTTTCACAAAAAACTTAAAATTAATAACAATAAAAATTTAAAAAAATTATACTAAATAAATTCGTTCAAAAATACATACCATGTCTTCAGGAGTATAATATTCATTGGCAATTTTCATGTCGGGCATTTCAAGAGTCACCTATTAAAAAAATAAAAATTAATATCTAAATATACTCTAAAATAAAAATATAATACTTAACACAAACATCAAAAAGGTATGCAATCCACTAATTTACTTTTATTTTATTTGAATGGAAGGAATTAGATCAAGCTAATGTATATAAATATTTTATAATGTTTTGCATGGTACTAAATTACATAATAAAATATTTAATTGAAAGATTATTAAGTTTCATAAAAAAGATTTAAAAAAATTTATAAAAGGCTTTGAATTGAAAATTTAATTATCAGATTTTCCTGAACAACAGAAATTAACAGTTAATCCAGACAGTAAGCTAGTAAGAAGTTTGTTTCCCCACATAGAAGGATAAAGCTTACTTCACCCGTTATTAAAAAGAAAACGTTTTACCATATGAGGGTAAAAGCCTGAATTTAAGTCATTAATTTAAGTTTAACATATTTTGATTAAAAAAAATCCAAATAATTTGTCATTATTATAAACTTCTGAAAATTATTTATTTGCAAACTAATTTAAAGTGGAATAACATAAAATAATATGAAAATTCTTTTTAACATAACAACAAATGTTCAAAATGCATTTCTATTGAAAATAAGAACAAAAAAAGTTACTTCATTTTGCTGCTTTAGTTTCATTCTAATGAGTTCAAGTTCTTGCTCTTTACTGACAAAATAACAATTATTTGCGTTTCCTAAAATGAAAAACATTTTGTGGTAAGTTCATAATTAAATATTAATTTCCAATAAGAATAGTAAGGGCTTTCAGCAATATATGCACCTATTTTAAAGCTCTTCTTCTTTTCACCTTCTATCTCTTCATCATACTTAGATAAAAGATTTTTCTTCTTTAGCTATGAAAAAATCATTACAATATTATTGATAAATTATAACATTATTATTGATAAAATAACTTGATAGATTAAGTTTTCTTTCAAAAAGAAAGAAATAACCTACTATTCCAAATTCATCAAATTCAGGTTCTTCATAAGGTCTATAATCTGGCTTTTTCTTTTTATTTTCCACATTTTTAGCATATTTTTCATTGTCTATAATATTTACGTTTTCCAATACATCATCTTCTTCTTCAAGAACACCTAAAATTAAAAAATCAGAAATATAAATAAATTAAAAAAGATTTCAAAAGATTTTTTGCTTATAAAAGTTGTAATATCTAAAAACAAAATAAAATTTTTTAAACGCATATTTAAAAAAAAGCTGAAGCAAAGCTATTGATAAAAGTTAATAAAAGTAAATAGAATAAAATATAGCAGTAATAAAACCTTACAAAATTAAATGGGAAGAGATTGATCTTTTTATTTTATAACAATTGTTGTTAAACAGCAGTCCGTCCCAATTTTGGGTATATGACTATTAATATTCAACTTTGTAACCTTGCAATTTTGAACCCAATCCAGAGGACAAAGGAACTCCTGGATCAAGCACTGGGAAAAATTTGCCTTCGTGGTGGACTGTTTTGATGGAAGAAACCCACATTTGCGTTACATAGAGAGGAACCCCTCGAAAACATCCCAAGGTTAGTCTGGTGCCAAGAGGACTAACACATAACCTGTCTACCACGAAGGATATTTTACTTCAGCACGGTGGTCGGTGCAAGCCGGATGCGAAATTCATACCAACCAGTCATCGTCAGGATTTAAATCAGTTTCACCTCATTGGAAGGCGAACGCTCTATCCTCTGAGCCATCACAGTTCTGGAAGATATAATTTTATTTTATAACCGTCAATGAACAGTCGACTGAATTTTTAATTTAGATACCAATGTTCAACTTCGTATTTTGAACTTAATTTCCGGGAAAATAAGGGAACTCCTGGAACAAGTATTCAGAGAAATTCGCTTAAGAGGAAGATTTTTTTTTATGGAACATAGAGAGGAAAACCACAAAACCTCCCATGATTAGCTCTAGGGCAAGAGGACTCTAATCCGTGATCCTTCGACCAATGAGATTATTTTTCGACAGCACCGGGGCTGGTGCGGAGTTCGAATAGACCAGCCATCGCCAGAACTCCAACCTGGTTCAACTCATGAAAATCATCAAAAAATAAATAAAATGTTTATCTTATTTTATTTATTTCTTTGCCCAGTACAATTCATGAACTTCAAAAATTGAATTATATCAAATTGTAAAGTGGTACAGCCAACTTATCTCTGATTCTGTGATGTTATTTGAATATAGTTACATAAAATAATTTTTTTTTTACCCAAATAAAAATACAACTTATTAACTATTTACTTGTGCTGTTATTAAAATAGGCACTAATTCAAAATTTTTATATTTTAAAAAATAATAATTTTATAAAAAAATACTTAACAACCTAGGAAACCTTTCATAATATTTTTTAGAAGATATTAAAGATCATGTATGGTATGACTAAAAATGAATCTCAATACTACCTTTATCTTTTAATGTGAGAATTGCATCACGACCTTCTTGAAATGAGGATATAGCATGAGCTATAGTGAGACCTTTCAAATTATGTGCTGAGTATACCTGAAAGAGTTTAATTTTCAAAATTAAAAAAAAGTAGCTAATAGTTTTCATAATAGTGAAAAATGGGGGCGAAAAAATGAGATACATTTAATGTACAGTTATAAAATGTCAAGAAAGTAATAAATTTATTTCCTCAGGTAATTGCGGCATCTAGCAATTTGCCACTTATCTAACAGTTTTAAATGGTTATAAACAGTATATTGAGGCTTGTCAATGGTCATTAACTAACTTTTGTCAAAACATAAATATAAAAAGGTTAAGAAATGGTTAACCAAATATCAATTAAAACAATTCTCAATAACAAAATCAATAGGACAACAGATAAAAGAATAAACTAGAAAACATATTCTTAATTGAATCAAACTTACCTCCTTTTTATCGAATTCTTTCTCTACAAGAGCACCAACACCAAACTCTTTATCCATTTCTTCTAAAAGTTTAGCCTAGAAAGTTTTCAAGTCATTTAAAACAGTTTAAGAGTATTGCTTTTTTTGCTTCATGTACTGATAATTAAATATTTAAATCACAACAGAATGTTTGTCATTGATTAAGAGAATTATTTCACTTTATCAGACTTAGTGCAAACTTTAGTCATCAGTTAAAAGAAAGGGCAAGACTATTTAACTATAAAATAGGGTAAATTAGCTTCTAAACACCATCAAAGTGTAACATTTTTAAAATGTGACTATCATGGACAGCAAGTATTTAAGGTAGATAAAATATTCGGTCACATAAAGGAGAAAAATGCCAGAAATTCATCATTCTTTAGTACTTCAACAAAATTCAAATTATTCTTTTCAGAGTCACTGAATTAAAGGTTTTTCATTAATTTTTAAAACTGAAAATATCTAAATTCATACCCTTTTTTCTGCAGCTTCTTTTTCCTGCAATAATTTCTGGTGTTTTATAACCCATGAAGCAGCAGATTCATCTTCTGAATCAGAAACAGCAATTCCTTTTGTATTCCTGAAAGTTAATAATTTAATAATAATTAGAGTCAACTACTTAAAAATTATCTTTAAGTAATCACTAATTTAGTTTATTTCTGATTTAGTTTGCTGAAAAACATTGACATAACAAAACAAACATTGTCTTCCTCAGCATGTGCTGGCAACAGAGATAGCATAGATGGCATTTTGTTACATTGGCAGCTTAAATTAGAATTCCTATGCATTGATAGAAATGAAAGTCATAGACTGGTGTACCCATATGGTATTAAGCATATATTTTGTGACACACATATATCCAAGACCTACTAAATAAGCTATAAAATTAATAATTTTCTTGTTTTAAATAAGAAGGAAAACAAAATTTACATTCAAAATTTTGTATCCTATATTATGTTACATAGTTAGTACCAATTTATTATGTAAGATTCCTTCCAACCAATTCTCCAAAATAAATAAATGAAAATAAATAAATGAAATAAACTTTAACTGGCTGTTCTATACAGAAAATTGTAATAATACTAGGAAATCTAAGAAAGTTTTTCTTTCACTTCTCAAAATTTAAATTATTTATTTTAAATTCTTAACAATATTTTTCAGTAAAAAGACAAACACTGAATTTTTCTTATTATTATTAATCTTGAACATAATGTTATGATTCATACATTGTTTGTTTATGAACTTTTTAAATTATTAGTTCTGGCCATCTTTATCTACACTATTAAAAGCTTTCTTATAAAAAAAAAAAAGGTGTCTCTTTTAATAAAAAAATTATTTTGTACAAATGTTTCGTTTCTAAAAAAGTAAGGAAAATATAAGGCCAGGCCCATAATTTCCAGAATATTGAACCTTTTTTACATGTGTGCAAAAGTTTTAATTTGAGATAAGAAAAAGTGAATTATGTAACCTTAATTTATTCTCAATTTTCCTTTTCGCTTTTGTGACTTTTAGTTTTTTGCGTAGTGCTTCAGATTTTTTCTTTTCATTGATATTTTCAGTTTTGACAAAAATTTCAGCAGCAGGCTTCGAAATTTCTTTATCAGCGTCTTCAATGCCTATTAAAAAAAATATGTAATATATAATTTTGGAACCAAAATAAAAAGAATAAATAAAAAATATAATTCAACCTATTGAATTTAAAAATGAACAAATTAATCAGAACTTACCAGGAATATCATTATCAACTTCAAGTGGCTTTAATCCTAACTTTGCTCGCAGCTTGCTAAAAAAAAAAAATAAATAAAAATTATTAATAAATAATAAATTTACAATAATTTTTAAGATAATATCTGAATTTCAACTTTCTTTAGAGTTTTTAGAGGGAGACCTTATTGTTTCATTTTAAAAACTCAGCAAAAATAAAGCTCGCTTTGATGAGGCATAAGTGACAGATATTAGGCTACACTGCACTATCTGATCAAACACATGCTACTTATTTGTAAAAGACAGCTGGGAGAAAAGCTTCTCTTTTCATAGATTGCAACAAGAATGGGGCTTGCGTGGTACAAGCGCCTTTTCTTCCATTTTCATTAAGGAACGAGCGGCCGACACTCCTTTTCTCCCGCATCGTTTGGCATTTCGAGATCCAGATATGCTCTCAGCCAGGCATGAGGAGGAAAAGCGTTATAATAGTTTGTGGGAGAGTTCCATTGCAAGTTGAAATACATAATTCAACCAGGATTTATAATTTTTTATGATACAAAAACAAAATTTTAAAAGGCAGAGAGGAGAATCTCAGAACTTGCTTTTATAAAAGTATTTTGTTTTTCTTAAAGTTGAATTTGTGAAAGTGCCGCAGTACAGAAAACTGTAGTAAATTTACCTTGATATATAAATGTTAAGTGCCGAGATGTTGAGTGCCATTGTTGAACGTAACTAAAAAACGGCGTCAGATGGCGGTAATAGCTGATCACCAGACAATAGAAAACGAGCAGACAATGATCTTGTAACAAGGGTTAGACGATGAATATGTACGAAGAGAAGAGAAGTTCTTCTCCCTGCTATCTTCTATAAGTGTTTTTTTTTTTGTTCTTCTTACTTTACATATGCTATATTAAATTTTGTTTAGTTATCAAGAATGTGTTTAGTTTAGTTATCAAGAAGGTGTTTATTTCCCACCCCATATTAATATATATATTATCATTATAAATTTTTTAGAACGTAATTTAAAATTTTGTTTAAAAAATTATTAATATGTAATGAAAACAGGTTGAAAGAAAATGCAAAATTAGTTGTATATAACGTATTAAAAATAGTTTTTGAAAGGAATAAATTAATACAGAATTATTTGCATCTACCTGTTTACAACGCATCGATATTTAATAATCAAATAAATCGTCCGACTTTATTACAGGTGTTTAAGTCAATACTTTGATTTTCATAAAATTTTGGGGGTTCAAAAGTCTACTAATACTTTGGGATATACAGTATGCTCATTATTCAATAACTTACTTTTGATGGTAGGTAAGATTAGATCTATAAGTTCATTAGAAGAAATAATGTTAAAATTTATATGGTAGAAAGTATCAATTTTACCAGAAAAAAAACTATACCCTGTTTAAACATTGATTTTAGGGAGATACAACATTGGGAAACAAGAATTGGGAAATTGGAAGAAAGGCATTATGAAGAAATAATAAAATTTAAAACTAAATTAAGGACAGCTTCTACTGTCTTAATAAAATATTAATTTCAAAAATATATTATATTACAATTTGACATGTAAAATTAATTTTTAACGAAAAATCAGGACGTTCTTATTGGGAGTTTCCTATGTTTAAAGTAAAAATAAGCAAACAGTAAATATAGGCATAGTTCTGTTGATTTCCAAATGATATATGGGGTGAAAAATTAGTAAAAAGCAAATGAAGATTAAAAGTTGTCTCAATATCCAATAAACATTTTAAAATATCTTGAATGACAACTCATAGGATAGCCATTTTTAACCTGCTAATAAATAAATCTTTGGCTTCTGGTCACCATATCTCCAAGCTATAACAGTTTTTCTTGTTTTGTTTTTCGCTTTTATTTTTTTGTTAGCATTTTCAACAGTAAATGTTGGATAAAACCAAACTCTTAGATATGTAGAACAAATAAATAAAGTATTAAAATTGACATGCAACTTACTTAGTTTCAGATATGCTCAATGATAGCTGAGGTTTCCTGTGCTCTATTAAAAAAAAAATCAAAATGTTTATAGATAAATTAGTTTAACATTTAAATTGAACATAAATCATTACATTAACTTGATAATGCCCAACCCCATACAGTGGTTTATATATGAAAAACACCAATACGAAAAAAGTGGTAGTTCATATCTGTTGACACCAAGTGGATGTTTCCTTAACACTAAACCACCCTATTTTTTAAAAAGTGCTATGCTTTGAATTTCAATGTAAAAATAAATATTTATATCATTGATATAATAACGTAAATAGAATAATCTTGTTTTTGCAAAATAAACACTAATAATAAAACATATCTTGTACCCAAACGTGCCAACCTGGAAAAATGAGAAAAGAGGCTTTCTTTCAAAAGGAGAGAGAAATGATCACGCAACAGTTAAAACAGGCTAAATAAGAAACAAAATTTTTTTTTTAAAAATTTTAAATAGCAACACTTTAGTCTTAAGGGAGACTTTATTTAGTACCTAATAAGTAAATAGTTAAAATAGTTAGACATATTTTTAAAATTATAGATCAAAATTAAACNTGGACAGATCCCATTAAATAAATAAATAAATGTGCTAAACTGGCTGTTGTTTTTAAAAAATATAATAAATAAAAGTTTAGGTAGCTAAATCAATACCTTTCTTTAAATGGAAAATTAGTAATTTCATTTTTAATTAAAAATATTTTAGATTAATGATCAAAATTTTTAAGGAATTATAACGAGCAGAAGGCATAATTCAATCCTCGTTTAGAAGCAACAATTCCAGAAAGTTCTTACGAATACGCTTGGTTGAAAGAATTTAAGTATTTCTTATTAAATTTTTTTGCCGCCACTATATATTTCCTCACAGAAAACGAACTAACAAGACAGAAAAACAAACAATTTTCAGTTATTTTGTATTTCCAATTTAAATTAATATATTTAAAAACAATTTTTAAAAAAAAAATAGATGTCTTTGTTGTTATCCTGTGATGCAGAAATTCTAAGATTTAAAAATAAAAAAAAAATTATTGTGAAAAATAAAAGGTTAAATTTAGAACAAGAAACATAATAAAACACATTTTTGTTTATTAATATTTTTTATACATTATTTTTTTATTCATTATTTTTTTAAAATTTATTATTACTTTTAATATTGCATTATTTATTCTTATGCAAAAACATACTTTATCAGTTTTAAAAGTATATTTATTCATATTTATAGGATAAGATAATCACTTTTGTTCTTCCGTTCTTTCAAATATTATAAATAAATTCCTATTATATTATTTTCCTTTAATAAATTAAAGATAATTGTATAAAAAATATCAAATATTTTTTGATAACATGTAATTATTATGTGTACAATGGTTACACATATAGAATTTTTACCTTTCACCCATGATCAAGGTTTTCGACACTTTAAGACAGTTTTAGTCAGCTTAAGACATTAAAACCCACGAGTTCTGTCCAAAACCAGTTTAAGATGTCCAAAACCCCAACCCTGTAGCAAAGGTGACACATAATTCAACAATTAAAAAAACAGAAAATAATAACGCACCAGCAGATTCACAAAGACAGAATTAAACTTAACTTTTTTCAGAGTAAAAGTAGAAAGAGAAATTGATAATTTTGAGTTTTGATTTGGAAATTTTGGCTTTAATTCTTTGTTGAATCGTCTTATTAAATCAATTAACAATCACATCTTTGGATCTAAACTTTTTGACTTCCTACATCTCTACTTTAATAAAGTAGACAATTGTATTATTTTAAATAGGGACCCACTTTTAGTGAAAAAATGACGCAAAAATCAAGAAGTCCTGAGCGGTAAGGAGCCCCATAGTTTGCAATGTCTAGTTGAATCACTAATAACATTAGATTAAAAAAAATAACTAATACTCACCATGTTTTTCTTTACCAACATCTAAAGATTTCAGCCCTAACTTAGATCTCCCTTTACTAAAATGTGAAAAAATTAGATAAATAAGAAGAAAAAATTTACAAAAAGTAACATTAAGACAAAGTAATAATCTATTTACAATAAAATAAGGGAACATACTTTGGTTCGCGCATACTTGATTGTTGATCAGAATAATCTAAAAAAGTAAAATAAATTATTCTTTAGTTGAAATAATAAAACAAAAAATGATGCCTTTTATTAGGACAGTTTACACACTAATTTGTGATTCAGTTATTTCATTTCTTGATCTGGTTTTTACCTACCCTTTCCCATGACTTAAAATCTCCATGACTTCTTACTGCTTATCTGGCAAACTAGCTTGGCGCCATTTATCACTGTTATTATTATTATTATTATATAATTAGTATAAAGAGCAAAATATAGAGAAGAGCATGATGCTCTTCCTCACATTCATGATGTTCGTCATTAATTTTTTTTACAGTGCTTTCACTACAGAGCAAGACTCTCGCATATTTTTTTCCTTCCTCGCATTAAAAAATTATTACCGCGAGAAATACCTGCATTCTATAAATCAATTTCAAAATTCGCAAATTTCTCGCATTACACCATTTAGAATAAAACCGTTTCACTTTTCTTCCCGGATGTTTCATTAATTTCCTATTTACCAGTATAGTTCAGAACCTTTTCGAGCAACAGAACACTACCCCTCCAAACCACGGAACCCCTTTCAGAACAGATTTCTCTGCAACCATGTGTTTACCGTAGGTTACTTCATGTAAGACGTTCAAATTCTTTATGCACTAACGTAAAATGGACAAATACCTTGTAAAGGCAAAATATTCTATGATGATGCAGCAAAAATATTCAATGCTTTAAAAAATAGAAGACATTAAAAATGTATTATAATTAAAGAAATGGTTTTTTTTCCAAGTGAAGTGTATTTGTGTTTTTTTAGTTTTTAGAAATCTCACTTAACTTTTTGAAATCTTACCGTGTTTTTGCGAAAGGGTGAGAAATTCTCACCCATTTTTTTTTTTTCTATGATGAAAACACTGTTTTTAGCAAATGTTTAGTTACAAATCATGTAATAATGTATTTATAAAAAATGTAAAAAGGAAACTGAATTATCTAAGAACGAAAGACTTTTAAATGCAAGTGATTCTTAAATGGATTGGAGTGTATAAATTATATTTTTATTCGATTGAAATTATCTGAAGCAATTTACATTTAAAAATGAATAACTGAAATACATTTATAGAAATAAAATTTTATTATTTTTACAAAGCGTATCTAGAAGTGAATGGTTAACAGTTTGAAATTCCTAAATTTGAAAGAAATAGCAACAATTTTACTTTATAATTTATTTATTTTGTTATCGTTGGAATATTTAAATACAATATTCACTTAATAATATAAAGCAAAGTTATGTAAGTTTCTTGACTGAAAATAAAATTTATGTTAATAATAAAACAGGAATTAAAACGCCAAATTCTCAATTAAGTAAAAATAATATATTTCTGCATTCTGCAAAGTAACAGATAATTAAAAATTAAGTTTAGTATGGGGACAAACTCTTACTATTTTTCTAAAACATTTAAAATCAGGGGTCTGTCTAAGTTTTCTTTTAGAGGAACCAATTTTGTGAAACTTTAGACATAATTTGTAAAAATTTGTAAAAATTAAAGAGTATGTTAAAAAATCAACACAAAAATAGGGTAAAAAGGGGATTTATCGATTCTTATAGGACACAAAAAATAAAATTTTAAGAAAAAGTATTTTGTGAAACTACCCTTTTTCCTAAAGTTGAATTTGTGAAAGTACCACTAAATAGTATTACATTTGGCCTGGACAGATCCTTGAAAATGCACATAGATTATTTTGGAAACAAAACGAGTATTGTATAAATAAATACTCGTTAATTTATTATTATTAAAATAATTTGTGTCTTTATAAAACAAATACACAAATAAAAATTTTTTAAAAAAAGTCAAAATTTTAAATGTTATTGGGAAAATAAATTGCTTTTTTGAAAAACAATTGTAATAAGTAAATATTTTAATGTATAGCTTGTTTATGGTAAGAACACAACAAGCTACAAAGTCTGAGGCCATTTTCAGCTATGGAAACAAGAATAATGCATTTCAGGGAAGGTAACTTCACTCTAAAGGCTGATACAATAGACCAAAAAAAAAAATATATATCTTCCTCTCTCTCACTGACCTGAGCCAAAATCTGTCCTGAACAGTGACCCCACACCCCTACTTGAAATAGTTTATAGCTCGTTACGATAGTCACCACCACGTGTACAAACGAGTAACTAGAGGAGTTCTTACTTGAGACAAACTATATATTACGTTGCATTTGTTCAGTTAATAGTGCCAACTCTAGGATTTGGAGTTCCAATAACCTAACTAGAGTAGGTAGAACCAAAAATAAATAACAGCTGATTAAATATCAGGTGGAATCGATCCCAACAATTAATTTTGTTAAATTTTAAAAATAAAACTTAGATATAAAACTGTAAATAAATTATCCAGTTAAAATAAAAAATGCAAATGTATGTAGCAGTTCTGGCCTATATTTACAACTTGCATTTAGGTTTAATTTATCATTAAAATTTTACAACTCAAAGTTATGTACTTAGTTTGATTACTTTCTTTTATTAATTTTCAATAATGACTTAACTTACTTTTGAATAAAAAATAATTAATGATTTCTTTTTCTTTAAAAAAAATGTTGCTATTTAGCCACCAAATATTCGGAATCTGGTCGACTCTTTTAGGATTAATAATTGGTATTCTGCTAAATCACTATTCCTTACATCCCTATTTTCAAGTTTTGGATCCATTTAGCAATGTTCACTTTCATAATAATTTATGAGTTGATAGTCAAAACAAAGAATTTCAATAAAAATCCCTTAATTAGCACTGATCAAACACCTACATCAAGGAAAATCAACAATTGATACACAGAATTATTCTAATTTTCTTTTCAAGTTTTTAACCAAAAAAATGAGCATATATTTTAAGTTTGGTTTTAATTTTGCCGGCAGAAATCATATATAGGTGAGTTATTATAGGGTGAGTACACCATATCACTTAAGTATCGAAAACGAAATATCCCAGAGTAACATAATTTGGAAAATATAAGGTTAAATAAAAGAAGTTTTCAATTAGGTTACCTTTACCATCCGATTCTAAAATCTTGCTCGAACTTGAAATTGCCACTTTACGTAAGAAGATTGATGGGATTTAAGAAATCTAGCGCGAAGCTCACTCACACCTAGCTCACTCACAAAGCTCACTCACAGAGACCGTTTGCATTGTTTGCAATTCATACATCTCAGTCGAGAAAGTAGGAGAACTTAATTGGTTGGAAATGCAAAACACATTGACGTGTGTTTGCATTTGAGAATCACATCCTTACGACTTTATTTCTCGGCTGCCTTGGTATAACTATCCATAAATGGATTATATTCTTGGTGGCAACAGTAAATTTATGTAAACACCGGTTTTTTGTTTTGTTTTTGATGGAAAGGAGTGTCCCTTTCATTATGCCTGATTATTATCCACAATAAATTGGAGACATTGTTTTTTTTATACATATATAAATAAATGATGAGTAAGTTCTAGCTTATTATTAACTCTTAAGACAGTTTTATTGTTTATTATATTCTCAATCGAAATTATGTATCATATCGGCTGCTAGGGATGTTGCATGCTATGTTTCGTTATTTCCCTTAAACACAGTGGTTGAATTGTTTAATGCGTGGAATAAGTATTCTTAAAAATGTGTTTAAAATAATATTTAAGTCAATGCAATATATATATTTATGTTATTAACATTTATACTAATTATTAACACAAAAACGAACGCATTGATATGAATTAGAACAATTTATTTACGATAACAACATAAGTTGTATAGATTTTTTTTTTAAATTGTGATATAAATTATTGCAGACCAATACGTGGTTTCTTCGGGAGATAATTCTGTAGTGTGATCTGCGCCATCAGCTACAATCGCCAAGGTTCCAAATGGATTTTAAATTTGTATATATTTTTAAAAAATACTTGTAGATATTAGCTAGGTAGTACTTATCAGTACTGCCTTTAAAGTTTTGCCCCCTACTGAAATCTTTTTTTTTTTTTTTTTTTTTTTTTTTTTTTTTTTTTTTTTTTTTGTAGTTGAAGGGGATTTATTCTGTGGCGGTATAGCTGAGTTTAACCCTCTGGGTAAACTTCTACAAGTTTTTTTTTTTTATTATTATTAAATTTGCAAGTTTAAAATCCATTTTGATAATAATTAGAATTATCTCTTTTTTATGGAATGAATTTTTTTGCATACTAAGGAAATGGATCAATAGTTTTTTTATATACTATTGATTAATGATACTTAATTTGGGTGAAAGTGTTAAATAAAATAAAATGTTATGTATATATATATATAATTACTGATAGTTATTATATAGATAAAATAGATAGATTAAATAATAGGTAAATTAAAATAGAGTTTTAGCGTTGTTTCCTTAATTGCGGTTTTCTTAATTGAGGTGTTCTTAATTGTGGGGGGAAAGAAATTATTACTATGCAAAATATTTTCTAATACTGCATAACTATGTTTCTAATTTTAACTTTTCCATTACAATAAAAGCTCTTAAAATGCATACATTAAGAAAAAAGTAGTGCATTTTAAATGGAACAGTAAAGAATTTCAACAAGAGAATCTAAGTTGTTAGCAAGTGTGATGTGAATTTTATTTTTTTGAGATCTTAGCTTTGTTTACAGAATTATTTGGATTATTGATCTAAAAAAATTATCAAGCAAGTATGTCATGTGAAACCATGAACTGAATCATTTGAGTCAAACGAGTGTTTACATTTTTACAGTTGCTGGAATTTTGCTCACCTATTCTTTAAAACAAAATACTTTTCTTGGTTGTTAATGTGTTCTTTGATGTAGTTTAGTAAAACTAAGCAAAGACTGATACACTACCATATTATATCTTGAATCATTTATGGATATTTACTTAGGAAAAGATATTTAAAGTTAAAAACTTTTCTTTACATGAAGGAGTATTTAAATAAAATGAACATTTAAAATTTACAAATTTTTTGAATGAAAATACTGAATAATAAAGTTGACTTTCTTATTTCTAGATATAGTTAAATATTTTTCTTTGTTTGAAGAAACAAATTAAAATTATCTGTAATTTAAAAAACAACTTAAAATTAGGTTTGCTGTTTAAGACATATAATTATAAGAAACATGAGCATCAAACTGTAAAAAAAAAAATTTTATCTGATTCTTAAAATGTTCCTTGTATTGAATAAGTATTTTTAAATATTTTGATTTCCATGCAAAAATTGTTAGAGTTGCAAACTGGATTAAAATATTTAAACTAATAAAATGGATTCTATTCTTGTGTGTATTGTCATTAAACTTACTAGAAATTTACTTTAAAATGTTTTCTTTAAATATTATATAATTGGAAAAGAGGAAAGTTTTGAAGCTTTTTATAAAATTTTGTCGAAAAAATATTATAGTTTTTGAAAAAGTAAAAGATCTTTAAAACACACTATAGCACATCGAAATCTAAATTTATCACAATTTAAGAAAATGTATTTACCAAAACAGCTAATCATGAAACTAATTAAATTAAACTCGTTTTTTCCTGAACATTTTAAAAAACTATTTTTGAGTTCGACAAAGAGTTAAAACTAGCTACATTATCAATATGTTCATGACTTAATCTTTAAAAAAAATGAATTTATATAATATTTAGTAATAAAGTGAGTGACCATCTTTTTTTATAAATAGAAATGTTTTTAATTTTCAAATCTTGAATTAAATGCCAGATAAATGGAATTTTTTAAAATTATTATTTCAATTCTGCTGTATAAAAATTTGTTTTTAATTAAGTTATGGCCTCTTAACAATTACATTCATCTTAAAGCTGAAAAATCTTGTATGATTTTTTCTAGTGTTTATTATCATACGTTGCATTATGATTAAAAAAAAATTAAAAAAAGCTTTTGATTATGTGAAAGAAGTTTGTAAATTTAAAATTTCTTTATAATTTTTAGCTACACCAAGCTCCAAATCAGATGACATGATGGAAGAGGAGGAAGCTCGCCATTCTGCTGATGAAGAAGAGGAGGAAGGAGAAAGCGGAGTTGATTCATTAGAAGAGATGCAAAAGCGGCGTAGTATCCAAAGCGGTAGAGGTGTTACATTGTCCATGCTGATGAGTGATGGGATTCTCGAAGCTGGTGAAGGATTCCTAACCATTGATTATTTAGTAAGTTATTTTGTACAAATATTTTTTTACTTGCGGAGATCGACTGCGAAATCACGCCAAATCTAACTTTTTAAAAAGGATTACAAATGCGTGTTTTCACTTCAAGATTCAGCTGTTGTAATAAATAATGTCAGATTAAAAATATCTGATTTTAAAAACTATGTGGAAATTAATAGCAATAACTGCCACACAAAAAAATAGAACGAATATTTCTGCAGAAAAGAAAACCAAACTCGTTACTTATTCTGAAAGGAAAATAGAAAAATTGCAAGCCCTTTTTCCTACTCCGATGTGCAAGAATGGCATATAATTTTGAATATAATTCTGAAGAGAAGATAGAAGCTTTCTAAAATTTCTGCAGAAAGGAAAACCAAAATTTTTTACTTCCCAAATGAAAAATCTTTCTGCAAGAACTCAGTAACCTGCGACAATGTCGCCGTGTCGCCAAGATTCTGCCACGGGGGTTGGAAGTAGCATTTTGCAAGTAACAAAACTACTGTTACATTTGTATGCAAAATGGATTAGAATAACTAACTTATGTATAAACATAGATACTTATTTAATTCCTTATATTTAAATAAGCTAAGTTTTCATTCAGAATCATTTTGAACTTGGTATAAATAAAGTTTCAAGTTTTTTTTTTCCCTTTTTTTTTCTCCAAGTTTCTAACATTGAATATAATTAAGATAGATGAGGTACACCAAAATAATTGTAATCTGAGTAAAAAGATTTATTTATTTTACTTTGCATACCAAAAATAAGGAAGATTTTTCAAATTTATGGGGTAGTGTCCCCATAGTCCGTGAGGGCATCTCTGTAAAATAACGTTAATAAGATAATTCTTCAAAGTTAAGATTTTTTAACCATGACATGTTGGCTATGGCTATTTTTATCAGCGATTAACAGTTGACTCGTCTTCTTAATATTAAGTTGTGGGAATCGAGTAGTCACGAATTATTAGCATGACATTAAAAATATTAAAGTTGGGACCTCATTATACTTTTTTAGTTATCTTAATTGTAAATTTTAGCTGATTGACTGTATAAACATAATTATTCATAATAGCACAAGGCATGTAATTTTTTAACTTTTAATTAACGATTCTGAACTACTTGCTCATAAAACTTCCTTTTTTTACTTTTTTTGTTGAGAGATGGGGCTTGACAGTGTAAAGTTTGTATTTATTCAACCAAGCAGAAAATCATTTGAAGAATAAAACTTATCAATTATGAATTAACAGCTTCCCTTAATTTTTTTAAAAAAAAGTGCCAAAAATCAACATTTTTTTTAAATTTTTTTTTATTACAAGGAACTAAAACAAAACATAATACACAAGTTCTAAGTTGAAATTTTAATTTTTCTATGTGTAAAGTATATTTAATTTGTTATCAGTTTACTATCCCAAATTATCTTGAGAAAATGAGGAAAGTTAAATATTAGTCATTGTATATGTTTACATCTTCATAATCTGAAAAATCTTCTACATTATTTTCCCTTTTGCTCAAGAATGCCATTTTTTTTTACTCATTTTTTCTATGTACCTAAATTCATCAACCATTTTATATGCAACTATATAAAACATGCCTTCAGTCTCACAGATCGCAAAACTCCCAAACAAATATCATCAAATTTCCAGTCTCAGCAGATTATTATTTGTTTTGCTTTCTGCCGTATAAAAATGTTATAAAACATAGCCTATTGACGAATTAAGCTATACCCGAGTTTACTCAGGGAAGCAGTTAATAATTTTTGAATTAACATTGTAGTTAAAAATAGTTGAAACAAAAAATTATCATAAAAATTCTTTTTATTAATGTTAGAATTTTAATTATTTAAAAGAAAAGTTTTGTTGATAGAACATTATAATTCTAAAATTACCACTGCACAACAAGTTTGTTTAAGAATAGTGAACTGAATATTTGTTGAAAGCTCATATTTTTGCTTAAAAAAGATATTCTAATGATATCAAAAAAAATTTAATGTTCTAATAATTATTGTAATTGTTCTAGTATTTCATCCCTTTATTTTACTTACTGTTTAATTTGCTTCTCAACATAATTATTTGAAAAATTCAAAAAAAAAATTTTTTTTTCTATATTTTTATAGTTAAGATATAATAAAGAAAGTATGGGCAATATCTCATTATATCCTAAATATAATCAGAACTAAAGAGTTTTATATATATTTTTCAACATAAGACTAAACATATTAAAAGTATATATGATAAAATGATCTTATACACAGAATATCATTAAAGAGCTAGACTATAAATTTTTATTACTTTTTACTTACATTAATGTGCATGACTTTACATTCATGATATTTAACTAAGCATGATATCTATTGTCAAAAAATCAAAAATCTTCTATATATTGCACAAAAACCCTTTTTCAAAAGTGTGGAGACCTCAACAACTGAGTTAGAATGTTCTTAATTAATATTATCTATAATTATTCACGAGAGTTCATAAAACTTCAAAACAATTCTCAGTTTGATTGATTGTTGCTTCTTTAAAAACATTTTTTTATATTGTAATTTGTTTCTATTTATTGCAGTTTAGAAAATGAAAAGTTTTTTTAATGAAATTTTTCTTTCAGGGGGCTAAATTTGTTGGAGACTTACTTCCTGGAGGTAAAATCAGAGCTCAAGAAACACAGAAAGTATTTTCATCTCCTAGCTCTTGGGCAATTCATTGCAAGAAGCTTTTAAATCCAGATAAAAAATCTGGTTGTGGGTGGTCTTCTGTAAGTCTTTGCTTTATATATTAATACTTTAACTTCTTAAAATTTATTTCAAATTCATGGTTCAGAACCTGAAATATGATTGTTTACATTAGATACTCAGGGATCTGTATAGGCCGAATTTACTATCCTTTAGCGGTGCCTTCACAAATTCAACTTTAGGAAAAACGGTAGTTTCACAAAATACTTTTTCTTAAAATTTTATTTTTGCATCCCTTAAGAAGCAATAAATCCTTATTTTTGTGTTGATTTTTAAAAGTAATTTTTAATTTTTCACAAATTATGTCTAAATTTTCACAAAATAGGTACCTTTCAGAAAAACCTAGACAGACCCCTGATACTGTAAAAAGAAATACAGTACCGTAAAATACTGATAAAACGCCCTTTCTCGAGAAAGCGCCCCTTGTAGCTTCACAGAAATACAGATTGCCAATCAGTACTAAAAAACAGTCCCCTTCTCTACAACACAATTTTAAAAAGTTCTTATTTTAAGAATAAATTCATAAAATTTAGTTCTAAAAAATAGTTAGACTGAAAATTCTGCTTGTTCACAGAGATTAATATGTCTTTCTTTTTAAGAAATATTTTATCATATATTTTTTTTTTTTTTTTTTAAATTTCCCACCTATTTGCATTAGCAGCAATCAACTGTAATTTAAGAATAAAGGATTGCTGCAAAAATAAGTTTTTACTGATTAAAGTTTATATTTACTTTCTTTTGCCATGATTATTTTTACTGTCTATTTTGTGATTCACACTTAATAATGCTCAACTAAATATAATTGATTTTTTGCAAAACGGCACTTTGAATTTTTTTCAATACCTTTTATTTGCCCCCCTCGACAACACGGCAATTTTCCTCAAAATTAGAGGGGCGCTTTATCAGTATTTTACGGTAGTTTTCAGTAGGAAGGTTGTACGTACATCACTTCCATTTTTAGTCTTGACTTTTTTTATCCACACAGCGTGACTCTAAAATCCACCTAGTTACGTATTTTTCTGCTAAATTATTCTTCACTCTGTGTTTACATACAATAATAAATTAATAAGTTGACTGTACATATTTTTCCAGAATTAAGAAATTATTCTTGTTGGAATACAATTCATCATTGGTTGATAAATTAACTAGAAAAAGATATTTAATTGAAAGTGATTGCCGAAACAGGATAAATTGAAAATATGTTATTCACTGATATTGTAAAAAAGTTTTAAAAGGAAAATATCTATTAGGGAAATTGCAAAATCAATATACTTCACTAATTAAATTATCTTCCAATTACGAATTGAAATCATTCATAGCTGATGTCGTATAGTCCATCATCAATCAGAAACTTGTCTTATTGTGCCATATTTTAATAAAAGAATAACAGTAAACAGACAAAAAAAGAATATAATTTTAAGAGCCAGAAATCTGCTGACGTTGGTCATTATTTTAGAATATTTGTTATAACCATTTATTTTGAATAAAGCCTGGTGATCTTAAAATCCTTGAGTGAGTTTCGAAAAAAACGAATTCCTCATGTTGGCTACACCGTCATATGCACTTTGCGCATCATGATAACTTAACTTTTAAATACAGTAAGGCCATAGCCTATCTACCAAAAATTATTTTACAAGAATTTTGTTAAAATTATAGTTTAGTGATTTTAAGTTATTCTTTACAAAACTTGAGCATCAACAAAATATGTTGTTTAATTCTTTGGTATTCTTCTAGTAGTTTTCTGATTTTGGCAAATGTTTTTTTCAGTGACTAATTTTCCTACAGTGAATTCTTTATAATTGTATCTTATATTATTTAAATCAGCTTTTAAACCTAGACCTTCATTTAACAAAAATGTTTATAAATAATTTTTATTTTTAGCAACTTTTATCATTTTTATATCTAGTAATTCTGCTAGACTTTGGAACTTTTGGCCCCTAAGGACTCAAGACTTCCAAAATTCCAAGTCATTTTTTTACTAAAAACGAATCCCCATTTAAAATAATGTAAATAATTTATTTTAAATTTTTGAAAATTAAACATTTTTATGCGGAATTAAATTTGTACTTCAACTCTTTTTCTTTTCAAACTCTTTTTCTTTTCTTTTTTTTCTTAAATTAATATTACTTCTTTATCTATCTACCAATATGTGCATTTACAGGGATACCAATGATGCATTTATTGGGATATGTGCACTAATAGAAGACTAAATAAAGAATTTTTAATCTTTAATATCAATGTTTTTTAATATAAGATGAAACACTTATATAAACAAAAAGCAATTTTCCTTTGGAAGTTTGGTTTAATTATGCTGACATGAATCTGTTATTTCACGAATTTTATTTTACTCAATTGAGAATTAAAATCATCCCAGAGTATGTGTCACAATTTTCTTTTGAATTTCTTCTAGGATTTTTGGTGTACTTGATATGTTATAGTGCATAAGCAGAATCTCTGGCAATGATTATACCATTTTAATAATTTTAATCTATTTCATATTATGTTAAACTTAAAAATGTATGTATTTTAGATGCGGTATAAAGGTAAAAAGCTTGACACCTATAAAAATTTGTGGTTTCGTAAACACAAGCAGCAAGAACAAGAAAACAATGCTGTAAGTATTATTTGTATTTAATTTTAATATTTTTATAAATTTATATTTCATATTTTATCTAGAATTTGAATGCCATGAAACTGTGAACAAACAAATTCTATTTTATAATTCAGTGTATTGACTTATAACTTGCAATTCGCTTTTTATAACTTGATTTTTAGCGAACTTATACTTTCAATAAAAATTTCAAAATATATTTAAACCTGTTTCTATGTTAATATCTTTGTAAAAAAATATATATATATATATTTTAAATGTCTGGTGATAATGTGCATTGTAATAATTTTTTAAAGAATTGTTAAATAATTTTATAAGGCAAATTATTTTTATGAACTTTTTTAAACACTTTTAAAAAAGTTGACATAAAATACAGAATTATTTGTAAAAATGTTTTTTTCCTTTGTTACAAACTGTACTATATTGTAGTTTCATATAAGCTTCTAATTTTTCAAACAAAAAAAAAAGAGTTTAAAAAACTAGTTATTATATAACTCAAGAGGAAAATTGAATAATGTATTTTTTTTACTGAGAATTGCATTTAAAATTAGATATTTTGCAAAGCTACAAAATATTGGTTGCTGACATTTATAATTAAATTTTTCTGAAATCCAACTGTAGAATTCACAAAATTAGATTTGATTGATACTTTGCTTGGCAGTATTGTAGAAGCCAATATTCACAGTTTTGTTCTAAGGAACTACATATTTGTAGTTCTCACTAATTTTGTGAATTATGATAAAAACTATTACAGAAAATAAGTATACATTAAAACTTGAATATTGAAATTTTGAATAATGTTCTATTAATTTAAGATATTGTATTATAGATATAAAATTCTGTTATTTTCAAAGTTTATTTTTTGATTTTATTTATGAATATCTATTTTCAACAGACTATTGAATTATATAAATTTGTTCTTTGATTTACGCAAATATGTCCTTTGATTTTATGTTGTTATAAAATACTTTTTAGCAGCAACAATCTTCATCTGGTGTAAGTGGTGTTATTACAAAGCCTTGTCACGGAGATCATTCTATTGTTTCAGAAGATGAAAAGAAATGGTATAAATGTTTTTACAACTTTCATTTTCAAGATTTTTTATTTATTTAATTTATAAAAAAGACAGAAATAGTAAATATACCCTTATAATCATTAACTTGTGATTTTATACTATGCTTTTTGTAAATAAAATAGGCATCTTAAGGTTATGAGATTTACTAACTCTCTATACTTTTTATTTCTGTGGTTTTACAAGTATTTGTTTTTTCTCTATGCTAATGAAGTTCTTATTGACATTGTGTTTTTGATCGGGCTTGCTGAGATATCTATTCTATTTACAAAAAGTATAATTTTAAATTAGTCAATAGAGGTAGTTACTGTTTCATTTCTTGGATTTACAAGGATTTGTTACTTAGAATCATCTAATTAGCGCTATATTGAAAATATTCCAATTACTCCATAGCAGCTTCGCATAATATGAATTTTTAAAATTTTTATAAAAATCGAAGTGTAAAAAGTATATGTATTAGGGGTTATATTGAAGTTAGAAAATAAAATCAGTATTAAGTTCTAATGAATCACTGAAACCTATGTAAGTTGATATTTTCTGGTGCATTGTTTTCATGTTACCAATCAAAGTAATAAATAACATGAATTAAAAACGTTATTTCATGTTGAAGTATAAATAATTACCAAAATGAATTAAAATTTCTTATCCAAGTTTAATATTAAATTAAATTGTTTAAAAAAGCAATGCATATTTGTTTTTTTAGTATGGCTGTTATTTATTATGATGTTATTTATTATGTTCTTAAAATAGTGCAAAATTAAAAAACTGATCACTTTTATTTCAACATTTTAAAATTTATTTTGTTATATTTACCAAATGAATATGATGCCCTTTACAAAACAGTGTTAAGTTCTTAGCATTTTTCTCATATAGTCAACACACACAGAGGTTTAGTAGGAATGTAAGAAATAGTGATTTGGCAGTGTATCGAATATTCAGCCAAAAAAATTAACAAATACTAAATATTCGACCGACATATATCAACATTTTTTAACAAACAATCGTTAATAAATGTTAGATTTTCTTTAGAAGTAAGTTTAGTTATTATTGAAAAATAAATAAAGCTTGTATTATTAGTATATGGGTAAAAAAAACTTTATAATGGAAACGTTTAGGATAATTAGATATTAAGGTACTTAATATTTAAGATGGGAAAAAAAACTAACAGATATTTGACTGGAAAAAAAAAGCTAAAGTCTTAAAAGTTGAGAAAAAAATAACAAAAATATTTTCTTAATTCTTAAAATAAAACTTTAATTTTAAAAATAATATTTTCTGTTAATAATTATCCATAAAAACGTTAAAAGTGATAATTTCTATCAAAAACACTTTTTAAAATGCAGCGCTATCATAAAAATGCCGATAAAAATTAAGATTATATTCAAAATAAAAATCTATCTTAAGTTTTGAAATAAAACTTAAGCTAAACGTTTCAACTTTCCAATTACCATATTTTCAAGAAAAAAGTGATGTTTAAGTGAATTGCCACATCATAATAAAAACGTCCATAAAAACTTAAGTTTTTTCTTCATTGCCATATTTTTAGAAAAAAGTTACCATAAAAGAATTTTGTTCATTAGAAATGCTCTTTAAAAGATGCATAGTAAAAATACTGATAAAAAAAGTTTTAAAAAATCAAAACCGAAGCAGAAAAAGGAATTTTTCTCCGTTCTAAAATCGTACTTTTTTAACATTGATAATCACAATCACAGTATACTATGTTACTAGTTATCTGTTTTGCAGTACAAAAAAAGTGACAATAAAAGAATATAGTCTATTAGAAATGTTTCATTAACAGGTTTCATTTTAGTTAAAATAGAAAAACAAACAACAATGAAACAAAACAAAAATATTTCTCAAATTTTAAAATACAAAGTGTTGAAAAAACTATAAAATTGACTTGACTGAATATAATAGAAAAATGAAAAAAATAAACTTTGAGAAACTCATGGTTCAGTGTAAAGTATTCTAGTTTCAAATCTTCAAATTTTTGTTGGTTTAGTTCATAACATAAATTAGCAAGTTTTAAAACTTTACAAATATGTGTACAAACTATTATATAGTAAGAAATATGAATTAAGCTTATTTTTTAGTAAATCTATTAAAATTTCTCCCAAAAAAACTTTGTTGAAAAATAATTTTCCAAAAAATACTTTAACAAATATTTGGTAAAAAGGTTAAATACCAAGTAGAATCCAAATATTCGTTGCATCTCTAGTTTTTAGTACTATTTCATTGATCCAGTGAAATTCTAATACATAACCTGATGTCATAAAGATCTTCAGAAAAAATAGGTTTTTTTCTGTTCAACTTATGAAAAGTTTAGAATGGTATTCAATAACTGTTTTAGACAAGTTTGATTTAGCTTGTTAGGCTACATAGATGGATATGTGGTCATGTTACAAAGGTTTTTCTCTCTTTCATTATATAGAATAAATTCTATTCTTGATAATAGAGGTCATCTTAGAAAGGTTATCAATGTACAAAAGTGTTCAGCTTAGCAACTTTCATTGTGCTAGTATATATAGAGATACAAATTGAATAGTTTGCTTACTCCATTTTTGTTATTTTTAAAACATTGCCTTATAATATAACTATTTTGTTATTTTTCTATCTTGCTTAATTTGGTGTGCCTTCTGTTTGACAGCAGAAATATACAAGAGTGGTACTCATTTTTAAATATGATAGGAAATACTTGTATAATCATATAAAAATAAAACTCTTTAATTTATTTTTTAAATTAGTAGACTGTGGAATTTGCCCACTATTTAAAGGAAACCTTTATTTGTTTATAAATCATCATTATTTGTATGTATTAAAATGATATATTTGCTTTCACATTAAAAGTACACCTTTAAGAGTTAAATAAAAATTATTATAACATTTTGCGTAATAATTTCCTAATCTTAGTTAACAATTTTTATTTCAGCAGTACACCAAAGAAATGGGATTTAGGTATGTATATTTTCTGCGATATCTATTTGTAATGTTTAGTTTAATTTTTAGAAATCTATTATAATCTAAAATAATATAAGATTATTTATTTAAAAAAAATGTTGGCCTTCAATTTCATACCAAACGGGTTTTATAGATTTTTATTGCATTCATTCTTGTGATTACCTTCTTTTTAAACTAAAAAATATATTTCTTCATATGACTGTCATTCAATTTTAAGTTAAGTACCACTTAGGAAAATCATCCTCAAACAGAATAATTTTTTTTAATATATGATTAATTCTAAATTTTTCTCATTCTTGTTGCATTTTTTTATTTCTTTTAAATTAAATAATTTATAAAAACTAATATGAATCTCATAAGGGTAATTATATATGTGTCCTTCAAAAATTTTGCTGAATACAGGGTTTCCACGGTACTTGAAAGTCCTTGAATTTGGTTTAAAAAAATCAGGGCCCTGTAAAGTCCTTGAATTCTGCCATAGGGTACTTGAAAAGTACTTGATTTTTTAGGAATTAAAATACTACCAATTTTTCTTACAAAAAAGTAGTAAAGAAATAATAAATAAATTCCAAGGAAAATTATAGAAATTAAGATTGATGCAATTTTTAACACTTGAAGTGAAAAGGAGTTTTAAAGAAGATGCAAAATTTTTCTCTCCTAGATTTTTCAAACCAGATTATTGTTTATCTCTCTGATGTTTTGAAAGCTGAAATTTCTAGCAAATTTTAGGTTTTGTAGTCATTAGTTTGCGAATTATACATAGTGTTTAATTGATTTGAAAATATGTTTAATGTGTTGACTTCATTATTGCGACAGGTTAATATTGTTATCGTATTTGTTCTTTTAATTTACGTACGAAAGATGATTAATTTTATATCATTTAATCAAATTTTTACATTTAGGTTTTACTGCTAATGAATAAAATTTGATTCTACAGGTTTCATTGATTATGAATAAGCATCGTGATGCACATTAAACTAATTCTTAATATACAGATCGGAATTCATATAAAAGGTTCTACGAATTGTGGTTTAACTGAAAGTGATTAGGGAATCACATATCGATTTGCAAATTACTCATCAGAATTCATATTAATGTATTTTATAAATCACACATCATGATTCCCATTAAGTGATTTATCAATCACATATCATGATTTCAATTAAAGTTATTTCTGAAATATATAACGTGATGCGTATTTAAGTAATTTCAGAATCATGCCTCACAATTCTCATTCTAGTAGTTTACAAATCACATTGCGATTCATAAAAGAGAAATTTAAGAATTACTGCCCACAATTCTCATCAAAATGATTTAAGGATTACACATAGCTGTTCTATATTAAGAACCTTTCGAATCACAAATTGCAATTTACATCATAATGATCACTATTCACATGAAAACTATTAGCTAATCACGCAGAATTCACATTAAAGTGATTTATGTATCTCACATTTTGATTTATGTCTTGTTAGTTCATGCGTTTTCTATCATTTGCTATTCATATTATTCCGATTTAAAAAAACATTTGCCACAATTCCATTTTATCGTACAAATCACACACTGTGCTACGTGATTTACGCAATCTTCGAGACTTCACCTTTCTTATAATTTTGATTCACATATAGTATATCTAGATTCGTATAAATGCGATTTAAAAATTACGCTTAGTGAAAATTAGGTATATTCACTAAATTTTAAAATTCACGCTAATGTAATATGCATTATACATTCATTCAGTTTCATTAATTCTAATTCACTCCATTAAATTTTTCATGATGATGCTAGTTTTAAATGTTGGCTAGTATCCTATGTCAATTGGAGCTTCTTTTTTTTTTTTTTTTAATTGGAATTTTTTAAAGTGATTTGAAACAGCTATCTAACTATCAACCATTTGTATTATTAGCTGATAAATTTAATAAATATTTTTTTTTTTTGTCAAATAAGCATTGCGATTTTAAAATATACAATTTCTAGGCAGGATAAAATCTGGTTGACATGTACTTCAGCATATAACAATGCCGAATAGGTCCTTGAAAAATTTGATTTTAGGTCCTTGAAAGTCATTGAAAAGTCCTTGAATTTTTTATTAAAAATTGAGTGGGAACCCTGTGAATACTCTTTCTAGATCTTAGTTCTAATTTGACAGGGTACATAGCGTTTTTAAAAAGTACATAAAGGTGCTTTTTTGGGGTAATTGGTTTTTTAAAAAGTGCCTTTTTTTCCTTCAGTGATACCTGGTGGACCCCACGCATTTCATGAAAAGTGGGGTATTTGCTATGGAATCATTCACGCCGACTTCATGTCGTGCCCATGCTATGACTTGCACATGCGCACACATTTGAATCCGAAACCCCTAAGTGCCAATTTGGATCGAGAATATCAGATCCTCATGAAAAGTTTTTCATTTTAATTTATTTTAATTTTATTCTTGTTAAACAGCCTTTTTGATGTTAGGGGGTAAGAGTACTTTTGTTCTGAGTTCAGGGTCAAGTTGAATTCATTTGGATTGGACCTGTGTTTTGGGAAAGTACTAATTATTTCAATTTACATCCGTTTCTTTTTTTTTTTCCTTTTTCTCTTTGTGTTTTTTAACGCTAAAACTGTTTATGAAAAGTTTTTGTTTTTTAATAATATCAAAATGGGAAAATGTATTTTTTAACCCATATGAACAGCAGAAAAACGAATACAGGAACTGGCAAAAATGCTTATAAAACAAAGTGATACAATAAACCCGAACAATGAAGCAAGCGAACTGGCTCACCAGGCAGAAAAAAATTAAGATTTTTCACTTTTGAAAAATCTAATGCTATGCAATATGCTAATGCTACTGATATTAATAGAAAGCAGAAAGAACTGTTAGATTTAAAAAACAAATTGTCAGATAAAAAATAATGTTCCTGTCTTTTATTTAACTATTTGTTGGATAAGAAATAATATGAAAATTATTTTTTCTTAACGGAAAATAAATATACGTTCTCTATGTTCATATCCTTTTTTTTGCATTTAAGTGAAATTGTTATTATAAATCTTTGTTTTACGTGAATCAATTGTTATTCATTTTAAGAGTAGAACAAGAAAACTCCACATTGGTAAAAACTGCTAAGTTACCCAAGTCTTAAAAAAAATTATCTTGGAAAGAAAGGTTTTATTATACTGTAGAATTGTTAAATGGATCAGAAATTATTTTTTAATATAGATAAAAAATATTAATTTTTTGTATGTGCTCGATTACTTTTAATTTCATTGACTGAATGTGAATTTTTTTAGTGCTTATAAAGTGCTTAGTTTTTGTTGATATATTCGGCTACGCACTCTGTTTGAAATCAGATTCATGCTATTAAAATATTATATTCTATTTAAGCATGTTAATTTAGCAATAATAAAATATTGTATTTTCCATGTATTTATTTTTTTGTTCTACATACCTTTATTTATTTACTTTCAGAAAAAATTGCAAACATGGTTCCAAGGCCTCGTCCATCTTCGTCTCAAAAGAGAATTATTGTGCCACATAGTGTTCTTGGAAATCGATCCTTTGCACAGTTGAGTTTTTTTTATCTTTTTGTAATTTTATTTCTGCTCTAAAAAATATTCCGTATGTTAAGTTAAAAATAGTTTACTCTAATCTGTTTGATACACAAAATAATATCGTACTTTATCTTGTGTATACACAGTAAAAAGTATCAGAACATTTGTCAGATTCTTATAAATTTAATATATGGAGTATATCTATAGGTTAGTGGTCAAATTATCAGGTAAACGTTTCAAAACATTGTTCAAAACATTTCAAACATCTTTATATTGCTTGATTAAAGACTTCCTTTGCTTCAAAAATACATAAATTAGACTGTTATTTCCCATTTGTATATTTTTGGAGTGAATGAAGTTTTCAGTCAAGTAATATCTTACTGCTTTAGTTTCTTGGGATTAGTTATTCAATATTTAAAAGACTTTTATTTAAAATTAGTACATTTTTGAAGCAAATAAAGTAATATCTTTCCCTCACAATTCCCTGGGATTATTCATCTAATGTATCTTCATATTTATCTGAAAGAAAATGGGAAATAAGTTTTAATCTACCTCTGTAAACTTTCATCATGTTTATTAAATACAAACTTATCAAAAACAAGCCTTGCCGATTACTTTTTGTTTTGTTTTTTGAACAAGAACTGAGGATGTAAAGGAGTGCATTCTAAAAATGTTGCCACATATCTATATATTTTATGCATATACTTTTAATATTTACTAGTAAGAAGAGAAGTGATTTCGGAAATTTGTCTAGAACTTCCTAGCCACTTTTCTAATTCTTATAAGATTGTGGTTAGATAGGAGATCTACTCTGTATTTACTTTCTTTATTAAATGCTTAATTGAATACTATTTATTAAGATGTGTTAAATATAAGTTAATTATTTTAAAATAAAACTAATATGTTTATAATAGGAATTCTAAGTACTTAGAATAATATTAAGTAGTTCAAGTGGCTTTGAAACCTTTACTAAATATTTACTTTCAAATTTAATATAACTTGCTTGATAAGATTTGTTTCAACTATTATATTGATTCTTTTTCTTATTTAGTGATCTCAATACATTAGTAAAGTGTACACCATTCAGTGGATTAGATAGAATTCAACCCTTTACTGTAACCATTGCAACTAATTGTTTATTGCTTGTGGTTAGTATTCATAGTTTCATAACTATTTTGCAATTTTAATTTATTACGAAAATAATTTCATTTATTGTATTTCTTTTTAAGGATTTTCACTGCCATATTATAAAAAATGAAGTTGTTGGTTATCTCGGAGGGAATTGGGATATTGCCTCACACAGTAAGTTTATTGGTCATTATTTTTATTAACGACTTATGAACAAAGTTTAAACAATGCAGAATTGCTGTAAACAATTTTAATCCCCTTTTTAAGTACGTTTTTAGCAACAATTGATTTGGATTTTTTTAATTGTTTAGAATTGCTATTAGCAATAGTGTTAAATAATTGGTTTTATTAAAAATGTTATATGAGATGAGAATAATGTAGTATACAAAAATATTTTACCTGCAGTTCTTGTAACTAAATTCATTTATAACATAATCTTAATATATTAATATTTATTTTTCTAATTAAGAATCTTAAATGAAAAAAGTATAATTATTTGTCCTTGGATGTATATCTATTTTAAAAACTGCAATTTTTATCTACTGTTATTATGCTCTAAAATTTTAATCATTTAAGAACGGATTAAAATTTACTGAAAATATAAATCAAAGTTCTTATTGTGTTAAACTTATTAGTAATGTAACTGTTACTGATTGTAAAATTTTTCTAATTTTAAAAAATCCTATTTCTGCTTATTCCAATTATTAAAAAAATTTTATTTGGCTCCATTAATTCTTTTAGTGCTTAGAATCCTATAAATTTGGTTTTAAAAAAAAATTTGTATGTAAAATAAATATAAGTTGATAATTTCATAATCACTCAGTTAGAATTTTGAAGTGGACCAGTTCACTTTCTAGTTTTGGTGTTAACAGAAGCATAATATTATTTTAAGCTTGGAAAAGAATATTATTAAAATGTTCCACTTATCTATTGTGATTTAAATACATTGAAGTATGTGGAAGGTATACTTATACTATAAAGAAAAAAGCATATGTTCTACTAAATTTCATAATAATTATTTATCATTTCTTTTGAGTTGTATATATCTATTTTATGTTGCAGTAAAATTTTACAAATATCTTCATCAAAGAAGTATTTATTCTTCTTTTATGTGACAGCTTAGAACAAAGCATCTTATTCACATGCTACATTTATCTATTATTTCCTGCAATTTTTACTTAAAATTTGTACCATTTAATTCCCTTTTTAACAACAAATTCTTATTATCTTAATCATTGATGGTCATTTCTTTCTTCATCTGGGATTAGTTGAAGCATAATCTTACAAATATAAATTATACATATAAATTATAAATATAAAATGGCAATATTTTTACGGGACAATTTGATGCTTTACTTAGACCACACATATTTGTAATCAAGTCTAAATTTGAATGACCGAAAACCCCTTAGAAATGCCTTTAAAAACAGCAAACAAATGTCCTAATAGACATCTGAAGCAGCCCTAAAAATAGAAAACATTCAACTATGATTAAACAAGAATTTGGAGCTGCAGCATTTCTTTTCTAAATTTACATATAAGTACATTAAAATATGTATATTAGGAGAAATCAGTTTGCAAATTTATATCAGGTTTAAATTGGCAGAAAGTAAAATTTTGGAAAAAGAAGATTGTTTGAAGTAATGCAAAAGTGGCAATATATATAAATTAAAATGTTTGGAAAAAATGCATATTAAGCATGACCCAATATTAAATAATGACATAATTTTTTTATTTTTTTTTTTCAAATTTTTTTTTTTATCTTTTCGTACTATGTTCTTATTTTAAAACTATTCTTTTTCAAACTTTTTTCTGGAAAATTCAACGTACTTTTTTTCTTAAATTAAAAATATGTTAACTTATATATTTAAAACTAACCTTAAGAAACTATTTTAATTATCCACTGCCAACATCTTTTAATGATAATTTATTTAAATTATTTACAGTATGGTAAATAAATATTTATTTGCATTCTTATTTATTTAATGTTCCTTTATTTTATGCAACTAATTTATTTATTATTATTATTATTTTTTTTTTTTTTTTTTTTTTTTTTTTTTTTTTTTTTTTTTTTTTTGTAATTGATGGTTAAAGGTTTCTGTTTCTTAATTTCATTTTTTCTCTGAATACTTTGTACTCTTTATGTTTAGATTTAGCTGTGTTGCAAGCTTTTCCATGTAGATCTGGATTAGGTGATAAAGACAGTGCAGCTAGAGTAGAAGACGAGGTAATCATATGATTTAATTATTTTTTATTTCAGCTTGTATAGTTTTATTTTTTGTTCAAAGACTGAACATTTTTCGGGTGGATGTCAATTTTTATGTCGAATTTTAAATGCAATAATATAAATATTTATTGTCCTTTCTTTTCTTGACAGGATTTTTTTTTCCTTTATTAAATTAATCTAGCAAAATTTACCATTTCTTCAGAATTTTTTTTATTAATGCCCACCTGGGAAATGACCTTCAGTCAATACAAGCACCTGAAGAGCATATTTGATGGTCACTCTTTCTGGGGTACCATATTAAGTGGGCCAATGTTGCTCCCACAGATAGTACAGAGAATTAAAGAACATAAGTGCCTTGCCCACGATTCGAACTCAGAACCTTTCTGTTGGGAGGCCAACTTCCCTGACCCCTACATATTCCAGTCGGCTCTTTAGAAAAATTAATACCCATCAATTTTCTTTTTGTAGTAAGCTTCGTTATGTCCTTTTAAATTGTACCCGAAAACTAATTTATTCTCCTCCATGCACTCTCCCCAGTTGGATAGAAACAATGCCTCATTTCTTTAGATTTCATGTCAGATAGCATTTAGATAGCATGCATAAATAAGTGCTAGTACAAAATTGTACTTTTTGAACTACCTTATAACTTTTAAGCTATTAATCCAACTGTCTCGAAATTGTTCTTCAATTTTACATTGAAAAATACATTAGAAACAATGTTTTTCTTGCTTGTTAAAAATAAATAAAAACATAGATTTTAATATAAACAAATTTAAAGTCTTTAATTTCCCTCTCTGTCTGCTTTCAAAAAAATAATAAAACTTAGATGAGAAATAACTTGCAGATGCTTTAACAACCTTAAGTGTCTGTTGACGTATGCAACTGGCACTGAAGATAGTAGGGCAATTCCATATGTGACGGAATGACATTTTGACTTGCATGATGACAATTAATTGAAGTTTCTATGCATCTAATTTCAAATAAACATGATTTTTTTCTCATGCATATCATTATTATTGGTGTAATGTGATTCATAAACTAAAAAAAAAAAAGAATTTTTTATTTTTTTTAATTTTATGAACTTTTTACTTGTGTGACGGAATGACATTTTGGCAACCAAGCTTTCGGCATGCCGCTTAGAACTGGTAGTTTCTGTGAATTTTGCAACTATTATTTTCCTGAACTATTTTTTACTTTTAGTATAATGTGTAAGCAATGTAAATTGTGAATTTGGAAAATTAACCTCAGGTTGGCTAGCAGTTATTAACATCTATTTGCTGTGACGGAATGATCGTGACGGAATGACAAAAAGTTTAGTGGAAGAAAGTCTTCATTTAAAAAAATTTTTATTAATATGTAAATGATAAACAGAATGTAACAGATAAACAGAATTAATATTTACGTAAGAATCAGTTAAAATTTCAACAATTTGAAAATTAGGTTGTCTCAGAAGAGGTTTTATATCTAGCTTACCTATGTCACATCTTATCTTCGTTCTCAGGAAATTTATGCATTAATCAATTTTTGTCCCATGTTCTTTAAATACTTTAACATCTAAATCGTCTTTGTTTATCAAAGTAATTTGCGCTGCATATAAATGTGCCTTCTTTTTTTTTCGCAGTATGGGACAATGATTAAAGAGCCGACCGCATACTCCTCAATCATATTTTCCATTTCCTCTTCAAAACAGTGGCTTTTCAAATCATACACTTGTTTTTGGTTAAAATTAGAAAGCATTCCAATTTTGATGATTCGCTTCTCAACTACATGAGCATCTAGTGCAGGTCTCTTGTTCCTGGCAATGCTAATGTAGCAAGTGTCTAGCTGAAGTCATTCTCTTTTGCCCTCTCTTAAATTGAATAGCTGGACAAAAACAAAACTTCAACGATTTTATGCTTCGAATTTATGAAATCATAAAATTCTTTTACATATTATGTGCCGTTTTACAGCAGCCAACATCTTGTTTGGCCTTTTAGAACAACATCACAATTACATGGTATTTATAGTATGAAAAGTATTAATTTTTTATGTATCTATATATAAATAGAACCCATGTTGTATTTTTTTTAAAAATATATAAATAAAAATTTGATTTTAGAAAAGCGTTTTTAAAAGAAATTAGGGATGATTGTACTGATGAAGAATAATTTAGATAAAATTATGCTATAAAGTAAAAACATTTGCTAACAGTTACTTAATAGTTAATTCATTTCATCTATTTAAATTTACTACTGTATTAATGTAGCTTGTAGTAAAGATAGGATGCTAAAAAAATATTTTAATAAAATAAACATATTTTAAATAAAAAAAATATTTTAGCTGTCAAGATTTAATTTTTAATCATCTGTTTTTTTTTTTTTTTTTTTTTTTTTTTTTTTTTTTTTTTTTTTTTTTTTTTTTNTTTTTCGCATTCAGTTTGAATAATCAAGTTCTCTTTCCAGATTAGATTACAGCCAAGTAAGGAAAATCTCTCTTGGTATCGGCTAATTACCCGATTCCTCATATATCTCTGATTTAATTTCTTGAACTTCTTTTCATGGCTGAATTGAGTTAATCCTCTCTCTTTTTTATTTTGGGACAAATTTTTCCTTTTATGATTTGATTTGAGCCTAACAATTTGTTTTTAGTCTCTAAAAAATTGATTCAATTTAAATGACTCTTTTATGTTTCATTTACTTATCATTTGAATATTGTAATTTATGCAGATTCGAAGATCTTTAGAGAGACGCCATTTATCTGTTGTTGGCTGGTATCATAGTCACCCCACTTTTCCTGCCCAACCAACCATCAAAGATGTTGATAGCCAAATGGAGTATCAAATCACAATGAAGGGAGATAGTGATTCATCATATACGCCCTGCCTTGGCCTGATTTGTTGTGAGTTTAAATTTTGATTTCTTTAAGAATACTGCGGAAATTGATAGACGTGTTTGTTATTCTGTGTTCTAGGTAATTTTTCTCAACAAGCTTGAAATAGCTACAAATATCTTGCTAACTGATAAAGGCTTTAAAAAAAATTTTTTAAATAACCACACTTTGCAGTAACTAAATTTTGCAGGCAAATTTTCAGGTACTTATACAAATGTTTCAGCTGGACAGGTTTGACGTAAAGTAGAAAACTTTCTATTAGATTTTAAAACCAGCCTCTCAATCTGTTGACAGTGTCAGTAACTATTTTTTACATTTTGTAGAAATAAATGTTCTAGTTTCCTGCGCAAAACTCAACAAACTATGTTTTGATCTTCTTTTTATTCTCATTTGATTTTTCTAAATGTTACTCATTTTTGAGACTTTTGAAAGATGTAAAGATACTTTTTTTGTTGTTGATAAATTTACTCTATACACATTTACAAATTTTGTTACAAAGCGAGTTGTTAATTCAAAACTCTTTTCATCATTCCATTTGCATCAAGGCCATTTGCAAGTTTATGTGTGACATTCAAGCATTAAATCATATACACATTTTGAACAATAAAATAAATGTTAGATATACATGTTTTCATTTAAACATTTTTCATAATATCTGTTATTCTAAAGTTTTAATTGCTGTAATTATTTATATTTACATTAAATGATAATTGCGAAGTCAATTTAAGAGACTTTTTTATGTGCTTAACATGTGTTTCTTTATCAGCCTGTTTTACTTTTTCTCATTGCAAAAATTGCCAGAATGGATATTCTTTTAGAACTTTCAAATAACTCATATAAATATATAAATGTTAAAATTTAGTGTGCCATGTATATAGATAATTTACATTTACATTTATGAGCATGATAAATTTAAATACAATAGCAAAAATATGGCTGCTGTTCTTAACTAAACTGTTTGATTATTTCACTAAATTACACTATGTAAAAAAATGTCATGAAATATTAATTTTTAAAACCTGTATTATAGTTGAATGCATTCACAACTATCTTTAAATACTCTTTCTTTGTATACTCTTATCTTTATATGCTCTTTATAAAGTTGGAATTCTGCCCAAAAAAAGTTTGATCATTTAGAGTTTCATTGCAAAAAAAAATTAGGTACAGCTGATGCTTATGATTAATTATTAAAATTTAAATTAGTTCAAAGGGATAAATAAATGTTTAATACTTTGCATGAATAAAGATTAGAATTCACATGATTTGTATGTTAGTGTATTGTTTAAATAATGTCGATTTTTTTACTTTTTAAAAATGGTGGGAGAAAATTTTGATTTTTGAAAATTCTCTTTGACTTACATAAGTAATTTTAAACTTGAAATTCAGAAAAAGTGAGTTTTAAAAAAAACTAGAGTAAAGTTTCAAGTGCCAAAAAATATTTGAAAATATTGAATTGAAAACAAATTGCTGTAAAATTACCTTAAGTCGATATTATCCTGCACTAATTTGTTCGCATTTTGAGGGTTTTTTTTCAGCATTTGAAACTTCCTTTTTTCTAAACTTTTAATTTGAAAATAGCATACAAAGCGATGCAGAATTTGCCATGAAAAATTTCTCTTTTGGGTTTTTTTACGTCTCTTAAGTGTTCAATATGCTTAACACTATACCTATTTTGTTTTGCAATTTTCAGATTAATGCTAATAATAGTGAAATATATCGTTCTTATGGGTTTATACAGCATTAAAAGAATATTAAATGTTAATATTTACATTTCTTTTAAAGAAATTTACATTACATGGAAATTTGTATACCTTTTTCATTTAAAAATTTATGTAATGAACTTTACTTATTTGTTTTCGTTACTCAGATTAAAGAACCTTTTTTTGTTTTTTTTTTAAATTTATTATCACAGCATTAAAAGACAAATTTACATTTCTATGGAGCAGATTTATATTATGTATAAAAATGTTTACCTTTTTCATTTAAAAATTTCTGAAATAAGTTTTACTTTGTTATAGTATGCCAAAATTAATGTGTATATCATTTCAATTGATGTCTGTAAAATCACCAAAAACTTTTAAGTGTTCTCCATTGATAGTTATAATATTGCAAAAATTTTATTATATAGCTCCATATGACACACAACGACCATCGATGGAAGCTGATTATCTGGCTTATTGGGTTATGCCACCTCCTGAGGTATTTATTTCTTTTAAAAATTAAGTTCATGTTTTAAAAAATATGCTCTTGTTGTATAATTTTCTGTTGGTTTATATTGTATGGAGTTTGTCTGAATCCTTTTGTTAAAAAAAAAATGAATAATCATTAACCATATTGCAAAAATCACATCACATATATTAAAAGGGCATTAGATAAGTAATGATACTTATTGAAGATGGAATATAGTTAATCAAAAATAAGAGATTTGTTGTTATGCAGAAAGCATGTAGCGGTACCAAAATTATTTCCATGTTCCTTATATTTAAAAATAACCAAGACAATCAAAAAGACATTTATCAAGCAGAACTTATTTTTCTCTATCTGTATTTACATTTTTTTTATGAGAAAGAATTTTAACAGTCAGTCTGAGAGGCCTTGACATGCCATAATTCTCCGGTCCAACAATCACAAACGTGTGTCAAATCCTTAACTTACACCAGTGTTATCTATTGGTTTACAAAAGTAAACAATGAAGAGATCATTACAATTTAATACAACCCTGTAACTGAAACATTTTTATGCTAAAGTGCAACTTTTAAAGATACTTAATTGAATAACCTTAAATAAGGATTCATTATGCGATTAAGTTGAATAAAAGGTAGCCATTAAATTTATTGATAATATTTTAAGAAGAATAGAAATATTCTCATGCAATTTTTGTGAAAATTAATTTTTTATGTAATTTGAAAAAGAGTAGGAATGGCTTGAAATAATTGTAAATTTATGAAATAAAAGAAATGTAAAAGCTTCAAAATATGCAGTGCTAGAAATCTTTTGTATGGTGCAGCATGTCTTTTTATTGACTTTGTGCCTTTAAATTTTACATTCAATCAATATGTAATGCCAATAATATTTTTTTCTATGACTATGGATTTGGAAATTCATAGAAATCTTAGGATTTATTAAAAATTTTGAATAACAAACATTAAAGTTTAACTGTATAAACTGAATTGTTATTCAACCAATAATTCATTTTAACTAAAAAATAATATAAATACATTATATATATATTTCACATAATTTATTCTTGTAGTTTTCTAATTATATTTTTTATAATAACATGCCATTATTAAACATTTAATGCTATTATAAAATTTTATTAAGCTTTAGTAATTATATCTTTTTTATTGTTACTCTTGTTTTTCTTTTTTATGTTCATTATAATGATAGACAACAGATATTTGTGTTGTGCATTACATTTTCCGTAAAGGCTAGTAAATTTATATGCCTTGAAAATGAAAATACTTGATAACCTGCTTGTCTATTTCTATTTCTTACGAAAACAATACATTTAAAAATTAGAAATTTATCAAGAGATACCTAAATACCTGGATTTATGAAAGAGATACCTAAAAAGGTAATTTTCACATCACTTACATCAAATTCCTTCACATTGTAGTGTAATACACTAGTGTCCCTAAGATCATGCTTTACACAATAATGTTGCCAGTGTTGTGAAATGAGTTTCACTTACATGTAGGAAGACATCTATGGTAATAACTCAAATTTTTTTAATGTATTGTGCACATCCCTCTCTAATACAGAGATAATTACGCCTTGGGTTGATTTTTCAATCTGTACTTTTAGATATTTTTAATCATTTTGACACAAATTTAACTGTTTTTATCCAAAAATCTTATAAGCATCACCACCATTATATGAATTTTAAACCAATTTCTTATAGATAGATAGAAACAGGATAATTATTTTGACTAAGGTTGTATTTTAAAAAAAATTTGACTTTGAATGTGTTAATTTTTAGTTGCATTAGGAATTTTCAGCTCTTATTACAGAATGTTTTGGCCTATTTTGCTATCTTAATTTTATTTCTGACCAAAATTTAATCAACAAGTGGGTAATTATTCAAACTAACATAGTTTTAATTCAAGTGTTCCTAAAATGGGCCAAACTCCTTGATGTGTTAAATTAATCTTAATGCTTCCTCACACAATTTTTTGGCACAATTTCGTAGCATACCATTACATGTCGCCTCACATGTGATGGTATGCCATGATGAAAATGACCTTGCTGAATGTAATTAATTATCTCGTTTGGACTTTAACCGAATATCTAAATCTTCAGTTCAGCAGGCTTGGGAAAAACTCTACAGATCATAACTAAATAATAAAATATGTGAAAATTTTCCTTTTCTAGATAACTATCATATCGTATCTATTGAATGCAAAACCCAAATTTTTAAATGATCCTTTGTTGGTCATTCCCATGCCATAAACAGCTGATCCTTTACTGACAGCTGATCCTTTAACCATATTTTAAACTATTATAATAGCTTTAAGCATTTGATTAGCAAACTCTTTGACAGCCTTTATTTTGATCTTAAATCTTTGCTTGGTGTGAAATAAATCAGAATCTTATAAAGTTTATCAAGACAATATGACTATATTCTTTACTTTGAAAAATAAGAGTAACTTTTTAAGCTCGTGGCTGGTGCCGCATATCCATTTCTTCTACCCTCTGAGTTTTTTTTGTATGAATCAATTAATAGAGTATTGCTGATTTTATTTAGTTAATATATTTTGCCAGCACCCCGGTGGCAGAAATACTGCGACATTGTCGCAGAACGTTACAGAGTTCTTGCAGAAAGAATTTTAAAAAGTTAAGAAAAATTTGTTTTCTTCTCAGCAAAAATTTTCGAAATTTTTACCTCTGAAATTATGTTTGAAATATGCCTTTTTCTCTCGTAATTCTTAAATTCTTATTTTAGAAGGATGAAAAGTAAAGAATATTGAAGCAAACAAATTTCTTTCCTGCAGAAATGTTTTTTTTTCTTCACAATTTTATTCAAAAGGTGCCTTTTTCAAGCATCAGGGGCGAAAGAAATGCTCTGTATGTTTTTATATTTATTTGGAGAAAATGAAAAAAATTTTGGTTTTTTTTCTTTCGATTTTACAAATTTAATTTTTTTTATTTTATGTGATGATGATTTGAGAAATGCAAAAAAAAAATAATAATAATAATTTGTGCATTTCCCTTGTACAAATGTAGGAATATTGCCCATGATATTAGTATGAAAAGTATTACGTATTCATTTTAAAAAAATATCTGTACAACGTTTATGTTACTTTAAATTTAATTAATAACATATTAGTTATTATTAAAAGTATCTTGCAGAAAGTAATAAGTAGTAGAGAGGTTTGTCGCAGAAAGCCCAAAAAAATTCTGCCACAGTTGTCAGCACAGGTAATTGTAGTTTAGCTTGTGAAAATATGTTCATTAAATCATAAGGTATTCTGTAGTTGCAACCAGATAGGTTTTATTTTTTCTGATTACATTTATGTCTATTTCACTATAATTTGTCAATGGAAAAATAGCTGGCTTAGTTTTGTTAGTGAATTGTCATAAAAACACTTTTTTTATGTATATTTTAGCATAGGCCTCATGAGTATGGACGCCCAATGCAAATGATATATAGCATCGCACATGACTCATTCCTTACTCAAGATTTACTCATGGAAATGGTAACTTTTTCTTTTATTATAAATTTTTCCTTTTAAATTTTTTTTTGAAAAAATATAAAAGAGTAAAAATTATAATTTGAAACAGTACTTAAGAACCATTTTAAAGTGTAATCATATTAGATAATTCCCTGCTTTTTCATCTATCAAAATTGTTAACTTATTAGTTGTATCAGCGTTTTGATTAATTTCAACATGAGCTCAACCTTTTTACAATTTTTGATCATTTTGTTATTTTAATTTTATAAGGGAGGAATTTAATGTGTGCTGTCTCAGAAGCAGCTAACAAGTTGTGCAGTTGATTTAATTACTTTACAAACAATAATATATAAATGTTTATTAACAATACATTTAATAATTAACTATACTTCCAAAAACTATGTGTTGTTTTTATAACCAAGCTATGATGCATTATTCATCCATAGAAATAAGCATATGCGACTGTAACTTATGGAAGAAATAATTTTAAAATTAATTACCACATCAATAACTGCTTTTTGAGATTTTCCTAAATCATTTCTCTGGTAATGTATGCAATATCATATTTTATTATCCTATAGTTTTTATTCTATTAAAAAAATGAATAGCTACAGTGAAAAGTTTCTGAAATAGTGGTGATGATGTGATACCTTTTCTTTCTTTAGTACTGAGAGATAAGGTTAAGTAGAGTGCATATTGTGTAAAAACAGTTCAAAAGAATTGTCACATATTTGGTAATAATTTTAATTTTACATCCTTTGAAATGCAATTTATTATATTTTTGAAGACTTTTGGGACAAAATAGTTAAGTAGAGTGCATATTGTAAAAACAGTCCTAAAGAATCGTCACATATTTGGTAATAATTTTAATTTTACATCCTTTGAGATACAATTTATTATATTTTTGAGGACTTTTTGGACAAAATAATTATTTTTTAACATCTTTTATTTACAACCATTTTCAATTCTCATTGTTTTAAAATTCACTTTCCCTTCTAGCTAAAAACATTCAATTTTTTTTCCTAGTTTAAAAGTTATATTAGTCAATTCAGTATTCTGTTTAGAAAAAATCAGAAAATTAATAATAAATGTTTCACAAAACTGAACATGTTACTAAGAGTCTGGTTAGATCAATTATCATAAAATAGTTGTTCCTAATATTATATGTTTAGATTTTAAATTCTATTAAAATGTTACATTTATAATGTACTTGTTGAAAGAAAATTAATACTTTTTCTTTTCCAGCGTTTGATATCGGAGTATTATCGATCTACAGGTGAAGCAATTGATTTTAATGTGGATCTTGGAACACCACAAGCAGGTGGTTCTCACTGGGAGAAGCTGCAGTCTTCGCTCAGAACTAAACTTCCAAGAGATCTAATGGTTACTGGAGCACAATCTACTGCACAAGCACAGGCAGTTACACATTTTTGGGACTTCCTCAAAGGTTTGATTATGACATAAACAAAAATTCCTATTTTCATTACATTATGGATGCAATCATTTTTTTACAAGTATTCTAAGAATACATCATCCATTTTCTTTTTATAAATTATACATTGGTGTATTGTGGTGTGGTGAACTTTCATGGATGCATTGAGGGATTTGGTTTCAAAACTGGCGCAATCTTCTCTCTCTCTCGCTCTCTCTCTCTTTTTTCTTTTTTTTTATTATTTTAAAAAAATGAAATGAAAACTTATCTCATAAAAGTATTTTTATTTTGTTTAAATGTGCAGAGAGTACTACTTAATTGTTTAAAACTTTATTTTTATTTGTCATAAGATCGATTTCTTTTGACATAAATGAATTATTTTTAATTGTACTGAATTTTTTAAATTTCAAAAATAATATCAAGATTAAAAATATTTTTTATTTAATCAGTATCAATTTATTAGTTTAAAAAAAATATATGTACTTTGATTGGCAATCAAACTATATTTCTTCATGAAAATAAATTAACCAAAGTTGACAGCCATTTTTTACCTTTTTTCTAAAAAAAATAAACTTGGTTTTCCGTCCTTCTTTTCCCCTTCACATGTGCTGTGAGAATTCAGTCCCACAAGTTTTACAATACTCTATCACAGTCATCAAGTATTGATTGTTACCAGCTTTTAATGTTTCACTTCAGACATACTGTAAGTTCAAAACCTCTTCGGTTATAAAAATAAATTCTACAGCCACCAATGTCATTAATATTGCACTTCACATAGAATGTATGAACAAAATTCTTTATAATCACAATAACAAACTCTACAGTAGTGTTTTAGTATTACAAGTAACTCACTACTAAATTGCTATTAATAGAAACTAATAAGTCAGTGATTAAAATATTAAGCTGTCTTTCTTTACCCAGTAGCGGGTTCAAGCTTACCGAGCCTTAGGTCTATTTAAGTCTTTAAAATCAATTAGTACACAATGCTAACCATGTTGACACCCTTATGTCATTTGTCTCAAAAGTGTGGAGTAGTGACCCCCTGACCTCTTTGGTCGACAAATTTACCGTTGTGTGAGTACTTAATTAGTAATCATTAAAAGGATTAGCGTCTCTATGTACTGACCTTTAAAGAATTGAACATTTATAAAATTAAAAAAAAATTTTCATTGCATAACATAAAGCTTCAATTTAACCCATTATAAAAAGGATATATTTTAACATTGTTAAGTAATATAATAGTGTGAGCAGATTTAACACAATCGATCAATAAAATTGGATGATTTTGAAAACAAACTTACGTTATTTCGAAATTTGTTATCTGAAATAAGTTTGGCCCAAAGCTTGCACTAGTTGGTCGTAGTTTGGTCCAAAACAAGTGGAAGAGAAAGGATATGAAAAAAAAAACATTGTTTTAAATAGTTTTAAGATAGCATTTTAAATGTAATGAAAATTTTGAAACATGGGGTGAAATGTTGTAATTAGTTTGGTCTAAGTAGGTTAAATCAGACTTCTGAAAAGTCAAATAAAAGTGCAATAAATATAAGTCATTAAAACTGTGAACCTTGATGATTTGAATTCTTATTATCCAAAATAAATTTGGTCTCTACTTCATATGATCAAGGTACTACTGAGCATATAACATTGTTTTTAATTATTTTTAAGAGAATGAACTATTTAACTGTATTAAAAATTTGGAAACATGAGATAAAAATGGTTTCATTAATTTTGTCATAGGAAGTTAAACCAGATTTACCAAAAAGAAACTGAAAAGTTAATTTTCATGAAGAGGGAATGATGCTAGTTTTGAAACCAACCACCTTGAGCATGAGTCGTGATATACAAGTCATTGTGAAGTTTTATTTGTATATGTGCATTGTGAATTTTCATCCAATCCTCTTGGAGGAAAGAAAGGTTCCATTTTTTTTCTGAAGATGTTATTACTATATACCTGTGATCATATTTATTTGTGAACATCAAATGCTCGTTTTATTTATACACAATTATACTGGCGACAGTATTTATTCTCATTGGTTTTCTTGGGTCCCATTTTATCATATAGTCTATTTATTTTTATAGAGTTCTATTTTATTGTTGTACATAGGTTATAGACTTAAAAGTTTCCGGTGGTAAAAATATTATATTTATTTATTTATAATTTTTTTATATATATTTTCATCTTAGTCCTAAATTGTTGAATTGTTTTCTGTATATTAATATTAGTTACATTCCATTGCAGAAATTATGCTATATAAAATTCAAAGAGAACGATGCTTTCATTATATAAACCGGTGAAATTACCAAAACTTTTTTATTTGTATGCAATTTATTGTAGTTAAATACCTATACTAGTCATTTCTTAGTGTATTTGATTTTGGATAATGCCTAGTTATTTTGAAATTTTTTTTCCGTTATAAGTGTTTTATTTACAAAATACTTTGTTTGAAAACCCTTTATTATTTTTGGATCTTAACTACAGCTACTGTAATGTTACTGATTGTTATCATTATTCAACACATTACTATCTATTTTATAGTAAATTCGATGGTTAATTCAAGAGATAGGGAAAATTTGAGTCAGATAAAAGTTAGAGCTAAAAGGATTTTTTTTCTTCACTTAACTAAAAATTCAAATAGATACTTAAAAATTATACGTTTTATTTTAAATTCAAGTGAAGAGTTAAAGTGAAAAATTTATTCATTAAGTTATTTTTAAGCTGATTTATTTTTTTCTTCATTGCAGTATCCATAAAAATTAATTTTGTTTGTGGTTTTGACTTATTTTGAAACATTTATATTTACACAATATAAATATATGATATAAGATCTTACAAGTGATAAAAATTTTGTTGTTTTGTATTCGAAAAAAAAGTGATACCAATTTTTTGTGACTTGTCTTAATATTCCAGTCACCATGAAGTATTTATTTTCTGTTTGTATAAAATATATCAAAATTTTTATTTGATATATGCATGATTTTTTTGAAATTTTAAGTTTGTTTTCAATTTTTACAATGCTTAGTGCAATGTTATTTCTGCAAATACTTCTCACCCCCAAATGAGTTCCATTTCAACTGTGATTATAAATGATTTAAACCTTAAATTGTTTCTATTTTTTATACGATTACTGTGGTGGTTTTGACCAGATCGTAAGATTAAACTTTAATGTATTTATTCATCCATATTTAATGCCTTGTATGAGATTTTATTAATCTGCTTCATGTAGATTTCCAAAAAGGCTTGGCTCATATATGTCATTAACTATAAGGCAAAATTAACGGTCGCCATCGGCCACAAGGTGAATAATTGTAACAAATGATGATTAAAAAAATTTCTACTAGTCGTCCCTTTTTTCATCTAAAATGCTGCCCTTGTGTGCATTTTACTTATTATAATTTTTTGATGATATTATGAATATTTTATGATATTCTGAAAATTAAATTGTTTCAAGATAATTTCTTAATATTTTTCTAGTTTTAGAAATGAGCTCTGTAGTATTCACCATATTTTGTGAAATTCCTTACAATATTAACATTTTCAGTTGCTTAATGGTTTAAATTTTTCAATTTTTGAAAAAAATGGCAAGATGTTGTATTAGAGGCGACTGTAAAAAATGCTTTTATGAAAATTTCTTAATATTTTTCTAATTTTAGAAATGAACTTTGTATAGTTACCCTATTTTGCGAAATTTCCTTACGTTATTAACGTTTTCAGTTTGCTTAATCGTATAAAATTTTCAATTTTTGAGAAAATGGCGACATGTTGTAAGAAGTGGCAACTGTAAAAAATGCTACTGCTGACCAGAAGCAAAGTTTCTTCCTTTTGCCCTGTATCATTAAACTTTTAATTGACAGAAATAGCTATTCTCCCGATGTTTTTTATTAGAAAAATTGTGTTATGCATAAAAAGTTGTTGAAATTTAAATGCATAAAAATGGCTATAGATTAAGATCACAAGAGACTGGGAGATGTAACACATCAGAATTTAAACATATATAGTATTTTTTTATATTAATTTTTTAATATAATAGCATATTATTATTGCTTTCATTCGATTTAATAATCAATATTTTTAACCATTTACTATGCTGTTATATTGTTAAAGAGTTATTGTTACATTTTCTTTTTATTGATTTTTATATTAATTTTTATTTTGAATCAACAAAGCTATTTGAATTTAATAGTATAGTAAATTTAAAAGTTTATGCAGTATAATATGTAAAAGCACTTCTTTTATTTTCCAAAATAAATTAAATAAAGACACTATGGTTTTCTTCTTCAAATTTTTATGATTAGTTATAAAATTTCAATTGCGTCTCAAGTTTTATTTGTTTTGTTGTTATATTAAAGAGATATTTTTGATGATATTATAAAGCTTGAAACTTTATTTTATTCAATTGATTATTCTCATTTCAAAATTTGAAATCTATTTTAACTGTGATTTAAGAAATTTGTTTTTTAATATTATGTTTTATCTTGATAAAAATCCTGTTTGAATATTATTGTGCAAATTGTGTGGGCAATTATTTAGTACAGCATATAAAAAAAAATTTGAATAATTGGAAATGAGGGCAAAAATAATTTTATTCCTTAATGAATTATTTCCAATAATTGGCATGAGTATTTTTGTTGTTACTGTCAAGTGATATAAAAATTTATTATAACAAAAGTAAGTATTTAAGCAATTTTAAGTTTATTTTTTAAATATTTGTTCTCGGCTTTATTTTATTTCAACAAATATTTATTATTCTTAGTCATAAATCTTGCTTTTGGTATTATAAAAAGGTAATATTATTTAATTATGTTTTAGCTGTGATTGTACATAATTTAAAAATTTTTTATGTGTGTTCTTTATTTGGAAGTGGTAAAATTTTCTGAATTTTATAGTGTGCAATGTTTACCTGTGGATATTTTGCAATATGTAATGCGGCAATTAATTTTTAGCACTGCAAAAATTTAGTGTTTCATTTTTTAAAATAAGAACGAAGGCACGAAGTTTTATCTTCTCATTTTTTTCATCTTTTTAATTAAATTTCTAATTAACTGAAAATTTATTTTTTTACATTTTATTCTAGTGAGATATTACCAAAATTTTAATTTCAAGCCAAAATATTACCAAATTATTATTTGAGTTTAAACTAACGGCAATGCTTGATGCAATATTATTCATATTTTATATTTCCAAAGATTTGTTTATCTTTATTCACCCTAGAGCATTGTTTTCCGACTGTCGGTCAACGCACCGGTGCTGCAAATTCTATTCATGGGTCCACAAACACCTAAAGTTTGCAAATTTGTTATTTATTCAATAATGAATAAAGACCCTTTTTTTCTCTACTTATTAGCATCTTTTAACTTATAACAGATCAGACGTTAATATGACATGATAATGTTAGAGTGCATGCTATTAACTCTGTAAGCGGCTGTTAAGATTTAGCCTTTTTCTTCGACCTCTTTATGTAAAAATACATATTCGGTTACGGATATTATTAAAACAAAACATCGAAATCAACTTAATCTTTGGTGTGTTTTACGTGTTGCTGTATCTAGGTTTGACACCTAGAATTGACATGTTAGTTAGCAATAAACTACAACAGCAATTTAAGTTTTGTAACTTTTTTTGTTTATTATTTCCTTTTTATTTATTTCGTATTTATTTGTATTCTCTTATTACTTAGAGATGGTTATATAATTTGTTTTCCTTCTCTTGTTATTTGAATTCCTGTAAGTTTTATTTACATTTAAATTAGTTTAAAGCTCAAAATATTTTTCATTGTAGATATTATATGAATGATTTGAAACACTGGTCAAAAAATTTTTTAAATGCCATGATGTAATAATTATGTTTGTTTATAAAACACCGAACCAGTCCTTCGAGTAAATCTTGTTATGAAACATACTCTGCTCTAGTTGTCATTTTTAAATTTCATTTAAGCTAAGATTGGCAGTAATTTTAACAGCAATTTTTAAAATCATAATTTCAATTTTTTTAAATTAACAGCTGTGCAATAAAAATCTATGAATTTATACTTGATATTAAATTCTTATAAGTGATAAACTGTTATTTTCATTTTTAAAAGAAAAAAAAATTTGTTTACCAATTTTTTTAGGCCCATTTTGGATTTACTAAGGACATTAAGTATTTGTACTATATTATTGTTAAAAACCTTAAAATTTATTTCAAATACATACATTGTAGTCTTTTAAGATTTTAAGTGTATTTTTGTACTTATAGTTTGTTTCTTCAGATTTTTATTACTCTTTCTTTAAAATCTTACTATAAAAAGTTGATATTTCAATTCTAACTCCGCAATATCATTATCTTATTTTTGTTTACATTTTATTAAGTGATTTTAATTTAATTTATGATTGGTACTTAATATTCAATTTCTGTTGTTTTCCCTAAACAAATATGAACAAAATTTTTATTTCTACAATATATGCTCCATTTTATATTTTTTCAACGAACTGTTTTTTTTAATTTTTTTTATTTCGTGTTTAAAATCTTAGCCTAGACATTTTTTTACTTCAATTTTAATTGTGACGGCATTTAATTTTAAAATATTGGTATTTTTTATATTAATTGTAATTTTGGAACTGCCAGTATTAAATCCAGCTTTTTTCAAAAAATTTCTGCAAATAAAAAAAATTCTCTCTTGCATTTAATAATAAAGTAGTATACTGGAAGGAAATTTTATACGATACTGTTTAAATACGTAAAGCTCGGACAATAAAATAAAAAATTTTAGTTTGTGAGGCATCCTACTAAGAAAGGTTGAATAGAGAATTCTAACTATCATATATTGCCATTTCTGCATTGTATTTAAAAATTTTAATAAATTTAAGAATGCATATAGCATTTAATAACAAATGTTACCTGGCAATTTCTTTTATCTCTGCTCAGTTTAACCAACTTAACTACATAATGAGATGGTATAATTTTTAAAAATTAAAAGCAAACTATAGAAAAAAATACAATAATTTTTATTTTAGCTTTATCAGTAGCATCTCTTAATATTGGTTAATGTAAAGATCAAAGGAAGTTGAAGTAAATTAAATATTTTTTTTTGTTAAATTTTTATATTTGTTTTTCAAATATATGAAAATTTATTACTCGCTAATTTTTACTTGAAACTAAAAATATTTTACGTTTCTTCATGTTATGACCATGTTTGTTTTCATGAATTGTGTTCAATCTGTGAGTGTCACCTGTACCTACTTCACAAATTCCATGTGTATATGTAGCATTATGGTGATCAAATAATGTATGTATTTTAATTTAGCAATAATGTGTTTTTAACCTATAAATAAAAATGTCTTGACAAACTGTGAATCTGATTAGTGTTGAAATGAAGTAGACATATTTTCTTAGAAACAAATATATTTATTTTTAGAAATGCATCAATATAATATTTAAAGAAAACAATTTACATAATAAATCTTTGCCATGCAATTCTTAAACAACTCTATAATAACTAATCTAATAAGGCTTCAATGTTTGAATTCGATTTTACAAAAAAATTTTCCATGACAAAGGTTGTGCCGGTAGCGTGCAAAAAAATTGCACCCAGGTCTTGGTATTTTATATTTATTTAAAAAAGACCGAGTGCTTTTAAATGCATCGGTAAATGAAAATAGCTTTCAACCTCAATAATTCAAAATTGCAAATCATCAATTATAAATTGTACCAAAATAGCAAATCACACAAACAGTAGTGTACCCAATAATAATAATTATCAACAACACATAGTTTACTAGTCAAGTATTTTTTTCAGTCCATCTAATTTAGTATCACACAATCATTTTTCTTCACATAGCTGATATTGATTACGCTATAAAGCGCTAAGGTATCTTTCAAGCAATAGCAAGAAAGCTTTTATTTAAGAGTAAATCCAAGCACAGGAAATAGTTATTTGTAAAGCACAATAGAGATATCTATTTGAAAGTAGAGTGATTATTTTAATGGCATTACATATTAATTGGTACGAGCTTTGAAATTCTTTTTTATTTTAATATTCACTTTTTAAACTCTGTCGTTTTGGTACATTCATCTTTTTTTTTCATAATTTTTTATTCATTTATTTAATTTTTTTTTTTTCATTTTTCATCAGTCGAGAGTACTTATTTACAATGACAAAAAAATCAACATGGAAAACAGTACAAATGATGAATAGAACAGACAGTTCTCATATATACAAGATGGTTCAATGTAAAAATGAATTTTTTGACGATATTGATGCTTCTTTTTTTCTAAAACCATCTCAGTTCTTCAAGGCATGGTCATATTTCATGAGCACCGACTAGTTTGAAGCAAGGCAACTTTTCTTCACAAGATGACTCCTTTTTGTTACGAGGTTCCGCTCTCAAAAGCCCTTCGTCTTTATTCTAGTGGTCAAGTTATCATCATGAATCAACAACAAAACAAATGTCAAAAGAATGCATTAACAAGCAATGAGCAACACTGAATTTTTATTTTTTCCAATATGAGACTTCCTTCCAAATGTTCACATCTAAAAATGACTACAACACATGACTTGATCCATTCTGATGCAAGGCAGTGACGAGTAATGAATGACAACTTACAAAAATAACCCGGGAATGTTCTCTCAGTTTTAGGCATCACCAGTAACCGGAAGAAAAAAGCTTAATTAAGTCGTTCGGGAGAAAGTATGAATTAATGAATACAGTTAGCAAATGAAATGTTTGATCAAGAAAGACCTTTGAAAATGAGTATCTGTTTTCCTCCCGAAGAAACTTTTATTTTTTTTCAACTTGAACGGTGAGCTCGGGTTTTTGCAGTAGAAAAAAAAGGGAGGAACGCACCCCATGCCAAAGGGTCATAGTATAAAAAAATGTTTTTACAAAAAGCGTTTATGTAAAAGGAAAGAGGCGATCATGGACTAGGTGTTTTGGTCCAGGGGTCACTGATGCCGCTTCATATGTAGTGCAAGGTGGTCAGAGCGAGAGAAACAGCGATCACAGAAGCTGCATTTGAAAGGCTTGGAACCGGTGTGCTTCCTATAGTGGCGCGTTAGCTCGTCTGAACGTGCGAAGCGCCATTCACAGCCTTCCCAAGAACACTTGTATGGTTTCTCACCTGAAATTAAAAAGAATACATTACAGATTGCAAGCATTATTAACACGCAAGCAAAAGCAAGATTCTTAAAAATATATATATGTAGTTCGAAAGGTTCTCCTGCCAAATGGTAAAGATGAATTCATTTTTTTTAAACCTTTAAATTCATGCTAGAAAAAAAGAGTGAGCATTACTCTTTATCAGAACAAGTTAAGAAAAAAAAGTTCTAAGTTGCATTTTTTGAGGTAAGACCTTATTTTCTTAAAGTAAAGCATTCCTGGGCAGCCTGTTGTAGGCCAGACGAGAGAGATGGGGCAAAGAATATAGAAAGGAAAAGAAGTCCAGCTCTGAGAATATGCAACTAAAAGTGGGAACTACTTGGTTCTGTATGCTATACCAGAAAAACAACTTACAGGGTGAGAAACATACTCAGATTTAACAGAGCACGGTATTAAGATTCAGCGCATGAGCATAGAAGCAAAATGACAGTCTGTAGGTACATCACCTTTGAACCGGTTATTGGGCAACACTAAACGTATGGTTGGGTACGCTGCCTCTAGCCTGCCACAGTTTTATTCTTTCTTTATGTCAAAGTGTGTTTTAGCAGTTTCATACTATTTAAATAAGGTCAATAACATTGATTTATTTTGCCTAGTTATTATATTTTGGAGCTCTTAGTGAATGAATGTATTAAGTGATAGTCGGGGTGATTTTGAACTGGAAGAAAGTTTACAAGTGCATTTGTACAACATTCATTCGACAAGTAGTTTTAGAAAAACGCCAAGAGTGGAAATGCTATGACGAGAACATTTAAAATGAATGTTTGGAGTTTATACAAAATGATTCAGCTAGGTGGTTATAAACTTAGGCGGAAGCGAGAGCAGCACATCGTAATAATTGATATATGCATAGCAGACGGCACTAGATGCACTTCACTGTTATGTCCATGCGCATTCATTTGTTTTGGTACTTTAAATTATATTAAGTTTGTATTTTCTAATAATTGTCGAAAACTGCATTTAAATTAGCTGTTCTGTCAGGTCCAGAAATAAACTGTTTTTACTGTAAACTACGAATCTGTCAACTAACTTGCAGATTTGGTAGCCAAATCAATAAACTACAATGAAGAGCTATTTATGGGTCTATTTGAATGTAGTTTTCAAAGAAAATAATTAGAAAATACTAAATTAAGATCATTTAGTTAAATAAAATGACCGGTTCCTATGGGCACAAACATTTAGCCCATTACAGAAAAGCACTTCTAGTTGTGACTTTTCCAGCTAGGAATTGCTTACTCTCAATGCTTATGATTTGTTTTATGTCTCCTTTATAACCGCTTGGCTGAATTACCCTGTATGTTTCACTAGTTGGTAACTTGTGGACAAGAAATAAACGCAAAATTTATGAACGTGTAAGCTTAAAGGTAATCCTACTCCAATTCACTGATAAGTCACTTTGAACCTATATAAGTTTTGGAATGGAACTATTCTAAATATGTATATAGAGTGTTACCTGTATGCGTTCTTTGGTGAGCTTTAAGGTGTGAAGACTTTGTGTAGACTTTCTTGCACCCACTAAATTGGCACTTGTGGATCCTTCGCTTGCTTCCATCTAGAATATCGAAGCGAGGTCTAGATTCCTTAACTGTCGTTATTCTTCTACTTTTCTCTGGAGGTTCAGCATCCAAATCAGACACTGATAAACGGTCCTCTGAACCACTACTGTTCCCACTGTCCGTCAAACTACTCGTACTACATTCTAAGTCCTCAACGAATTTGGTCTCTTCCTTTAAAGAAAATCGGTCCCACAAACTATCAGGCGTACACTTAAAGGATTTTGGCTCTTCTTTCAAATACCGTTCCATTTCCATAATCGTCTGCAAAAAAGTAGACTGCAATTAGTAAATCATAGAATGATCTCATAGTACTACTATACAAGGCAGAAGAAATAATTTATTAATAGTGAAGTATTGTAAATACAAAAATTTCCTCCAATAAATTTTTTTTACAATCCACAACTAAGAAAAAACAATTCATAAAGTAGACCTTAATGGCAGATTTATTTCTTACCACCTACAGTACCCAAAAAATGTTATTTTAACATAAAATATCAGTTTTTTTTTACACCCAGTGTTTTCACTACAGCGCGAGAAAGCGAGAATCTCGCATATTTTTTAATATTCTCGCATTAAAAAATGATTACCGCGAGAAATTCGCGCATTCTATAAAAAAATTTCAAAATTCGCGAATTTCTCGCATTTTGAAAAAAATTTCTCATTTGCGCCATTTAGAATAAAATCCGTTTCACTTTTCTTCCTGGATCTTTTATTATTTTCAACATCTGCCCCATTATCTAGCTTCCCTATTTACCAGTATTGTTCAGAACCTTTAAGAACAACAGAACACCATCCTTCCGAACCACGGAACCTCTTTCAGAACGCATTTCTCTGCAACCACGTGTTTACCGTAGGTAAGGTTTCTTCATGTAAGACGTTCAAATTTTTTGCTCGTTAATGTAAGATGGACAAATACCTTGTAAAGCCAATATCTTCTACTCCTTAACGGACGAATGAAAATGAAACAAATGTGGGTAGAAACGATCAAAACGAAACAAATACGCATTTGAGCAACCTAATGAGAATAGCTGATGAAAAAGTAGATGTAGAACATTTTCCATATGATGATGCAGCAAAAATATTCTATGCTTTAAAAATTAGAAGATGTTAAAAATGCATTATATTTAAAGAAATGATTTTTTTTTTCAAGTCTCTGTGTTTTTTTTTTTTAAATTTTTGAAATCTTACTTAACTTTTTGAAATCTCACCCTGTTTTTGAGAAAGGGTGCGAAATTCTCACCCATTTTTTTCTGAGATGAAAACACTGACACCAATTTTCAAGATAAAACAATTGATTAAGTAATTTTTTTGAATCATGCTTTTAATGTGAAACATCAAAAGTCCCCCCCCCTTTCATATATTTGAGAGAAAAGTACACATATTTCAAATGTAATGTTATGTAATCAGTTTTCAAAACTGAATATAAGCGTTTTTTTATAAAAATTAATATTAATCCTTAAACAATTCTATTTTTCATAATAACGAAAGTGTATCACTGATTATAAATGTTATTAATTTTTTATATGTCAGGAACGTCTTCCATATAAGAACTTTATTTCACCTAATCGTTATAAAATTCTTCTCTGCCCCCTAAAGAATATGAATCAACCCTTTTGAAAAATGTGCAAAAGGGTTTTTTTTCCACGATAAATTCTATCACTGATTAAATTACAGTTTAACACATAAATGTTTCTAATTAAAGTGAATTGATATTTTTTAATCATTCATAACACTCTTGCTAGAAAAATTTTACAAGTGTTGAAAACTAACATTCAGGTTCAAACTATCCCTCATTTATCGAAAATTTATTTTGTTTTATTTATTCAAAACATTAATCCTCCTTTATTTACTTCCAAAATGACTCCCAGAAATTTTGATCCATTAACAAACCCTTCACAAAATATTTTATTGTGAAAACGATCGTACCCTTCGCAAAACTATCATTTGAAAAACGGGATCAACGAAGTCTTCAATTCATAATTTTAAAACTAAAATTTCTTTAAAGACATGATTTCCGTTTGTTTTTCCCCCTGCAAAAACAAAACCTTATTTCTCATATTTAAAAATTATGTACATTTTCCACAAAAAAAAATCTGAAGAAGCCATTGGTTTTCGTGATCATTTTTTTACCAAGTCAGAATCCCAATTTTTTAAATTGTGAGTAAATTTTTCACAAAATGTCTGGGATAATAATTATGCTTTAAGTGAATCTACTTGTATCATAAATTAGATGTTAAAACAACAATTCTAAAAACGTGTAACGTAAAGGAATCGAACACCACGGAATACAGAATGTGGAAAAATATCTATCTGATGTCTGATACTCAAGCAATAATATGAAAATCAAAAGTTTATGGTTCACCCTGGGGACAATTAAGCTTTCATTCCTTGCCAACTGTTACATACATAGCCTTAAGGTAAATTACGACAGACGTAAAGGAACTAAAATATAATTTTAGAAAATAGTTTCAAATATCGCCCCCTAGAGGATTCTCATTCGCGGTTGTATCAAATGCTCATTAAAAATCGAAACTTAAAACCGAAAGCTATTTCTCCTAAATTGATTTGCTCCAAATACAAGCGAATGAAAATAATCTTCCACCATTACCACGATCGATATGCAATCGCATAGCCTAACTCCTCCCTTTAGGAACTTGCTCGTCAAATTTGCTTTAATTTAAACTTACAATCTTTATTCGATAAAAAGATAACACAATTTGTGATTTTAATTTCAGCGGATACTTTTGTCTTAACTCAATGGTGCGATTGGAAAGTTCAGTGGTTTAGAAGCAATCGTTTTATGCTTTCTGAATAGTTGAAAAGTAATAATTTCAATCTGGAATTATAATTAAATACCAAGTTTTGCCTTCTTCTTTAGATAATATATATATATATATATAAAATTTAGCATTGATAACAAACATAAATAAAATTATTTACTTCCCACTTAACAACAGAACTTCAACTTTTCGGATCAAATCTATTGCAATTATGAGACAAAATACTTCTGGAGCTGTGATTTGGTGAACAAAATTCTTCAAAAGTCAATCTAGAGCAGTTTTGTTTTTTGTTGTTCAAATCTAGTGCAAAGTTAATCTTTGCAATTTAGCAAAGATACTAACTTAACGAAAATTATTTACTTCCCATTTAATAATAGAACTTCAACATTTCGGTGCAAATTTGGGGCAATTATGGTGCAAAATACTTCTTCTAAAACGAATCTAGTGTGATTTTTTTTTAACAAACATTTTTTTAAAAATTAATCTAATGTAATTTTGGAAACAAAAACCGTCGATAACAACGTCGTCGAAAAACCGTCGATAACGTCGATCCATTGCGCTTTTTTTTTAAAGCTAATTTGGCGTATTTTCTACATTTTTGGAGGACGATTGAAACAAACGGAAAGGGGGAAGAAGGAAAAAAAAAAAGAGTCCGGTTTAGAAGAGCTTGATGGATATATGTTGCAGCTGTCACATCATTGACTAATTTGTTTATGCTACTAATGTTATTCTATAACGCAAATTCCTTGTTGCTTGTTTGTAATCTTTTGTGCTATTTTCAGATTATTATGAAAATAATCTTTCATAATAAATAATAAGATAAATAAAATATGAAAATACTTTTTAATTAATAATCTGTAAAATACATATCAAGAAAAAAATATCATAACAATTTAATAAAACATTATATTCGTAGACTATTACAAAATCAAGCGTACATATTGTACATACCAATTAAAAATATTCAATTGTATAAGCACATAAACCTGCAACAAATGCATGGAACATACTAAATGAATGATTAAATTCTTTACCATATTTCATCGAAACGACAATTTTAATATATAAAAGCTATTGTATAAAATAATATTCTCATAAACGGGAATGCGGTATTAATTTAATAAATGCGAAGAGATAATGATAAATCTTTTCAAAGCGAGCATTATTCTCAATTTTTAAAACGCTCCATTATGAGATAATGGTTTTTCCGTGCAAAAACTTTAATAACTAGTTCTCATTTTTTATTATTAAATCGCTTTCATTTTCCCTGCATTCAAAAATGAAAAATTTGAAAGATAGGGGAAGTTTTTCATTATTATAGATACGCATATATTTAAATATTACCATTACACGTCTATAAATATTATTTTTTCAAATACTGAAAAAATTGATGTGGTTGATTTTGTCTTTTTTACAATCGATTCTTATGCTATTGCTATCTAACCAAATGAAGTATTGTTACCTTTGTATTTTATTAAACTCAATTGAATGAAAACAATATTCAAGCGAACTAATAGTTTTTTTTCGGGGGGGGGGAGGCGGTGTCAGGTTAAAAATTTACTTTTACTGTACTTTTTATGAAATTAGTCACTATTAGTTTAAATAAAAGATTTGCATATAATATACTAAATTGAATGAGATTAAACATGAGTCAATGGACTATTCGCTAATCAAAACTAATGGTTTTTATCGATGTGAGATTCTCCTCTCTTAAATCACCCCCATTTCCCCTCAAAAAAAGGGTTAAACGTACAAGGGAGAGTAGGGGAGTTTCCAGCCATTGTTTATAATGACTTAACAAAGCTTTCTATAAAAAAAAAATCTTGAATATTCGTATTTTTGAAGAAAACCTTTTTTTAAGCTATAATTACAAGACTAAAACATTTTAAGAATTAAACAATTGGTCAGTTAAAAGCAAAAAAAATAATTATAATAATAATTAATCACAGTTCCAAATCTAACTTAATAACTAATCCTAAATATCTGACAGATGTCATAAAAATCTTCATTTAATGGAAAGACTCAACGCAAATGTACATTTCGCATTTGTATTTGAACTACTGCATAAATACTTTAAAATATTCCCTATAATAATTGTTTCCTCATAGATAACAACTGGAAATCAATATTTATACATTGAATATATGACAGATTAAAGCCAAGGCCAAGTAAAACAAAAAACTCGAAAGAACGTAATCTCGTTTGTAAAAGACACGGCACCTTTCGAGAAAAGTCATCACTATATCTGTAAAAATGACGACATTGATGCGAGTTGCAGCTATGTCACCTAAATTATTATCAGCAATCGAATATGCCCTTTAAAGGCAAAAGAAACACAATGAGAAGTCTTTCTTTTTCTTACTTTTTGACTGCTTAAGGTAAATAAAAATTTTCGCTACGAAACAAAAACACGTTCAATAAAAAGTCATTAAATCATTAATGACTGGTCACCTAAAAATAGGCTATGAATATTATTATCAA